TCGCCCCCCTTTCAAAACTCCTTTCGCATGTCTGGTACTCTATGGGCAGCAAAACCATTTAACATTGTGCTTTGTAAAGTACGTGTTTTGAAGCGAATGGATAGTTTTGTCTTAGACTCGTTTCGATTTCAAACCCATCTTATGTACTGCTGCCAATTCTGATACGTGTACATGAATCCTATACATAATATGTTCTAACCATACCAGCTTTCTGGGTACTCCCACTTTAACTATTAGTTTCCACAGTGTATCTTTGTTTACAGAGTCATATGCTTGTTTAAAATTAACAAAAATTCTTTGTTGTATTTCCAACTCTTTTCTAAAATTTGGAACAAGATAAAGATCTATTGTTATTTCTATTGTGATTCTTCCTTTGCAGTCGGAAGCCATACTGGTCATCACCTATTATTTCTTTTGCGTACTAAGTAATGTTCACAGAAGAAAAATAAGCATAAATTTGTAAGTTGTCTGAATTAATGATATCTCATATATTTCTTACATAAATATTTATCTACCCTGATGACAGATACTATCTGGCTTTTACGCAATTCTATCAACATTTCTTCTCTTTACGATATTTCGTTTATAAGGTGATGTATTTGTACATGAAGTTGTTCTTTCCTTTTCTCAATCATTTCCGCATGATGCATGGAGATTTGTTATTTCTTACTGCCACTAGTATTTCCTTTGCTTCATCGAGCGCTGCTAACGGTATTTCGGGTTCTGCTGAGTGGTACTATTTTTTTTTCGTATGTTGACTCGTCAGTATTTAATAACTATCTGAAATACTCTCTCCATTGTCGGCTTATGTCCGTATTTTTCGTAAGAAGTTATCCTCTATCATCTTTGATGATCCTGGATTATTTATCTTAGTGCCTTTATTGTTTAATTTTCTTACAAATCTGTGTAAACTGAGCGGTTCTGTGGTTGCTTGTAAATTGCTTTATCCAAATTTCTAGGTATTATTTTTTACTTCCTTCTCAACACCCTTCTCGTTTCTATTTTAATTGTATGGCATGCTTACCTGTTGGTCTTGTTAGTAGCTCCACCCCTTTGTTGGGTTTAGCTTTAAACTTTATTCACATTTCTGGTCGAACCCTTTTTTTTTCTCGTTTTTTTTCTCTATTTTATTATACGAAATTATAATCCAAATAAACTGCACTGATTGATAAACTACATGAGTTAAGAAAACAAATATTTTAAGTCTTATTATTTAAATTTTGGAAACCTCAACATTTCTTCTAATTATACTATAAAAGATCATTTTATTAAACGTTAAAAAGAATACCAACTTTATCAGAATAAATTATAGTCTTTGGTACCTAGTAAATATCTGATATATTTTTAGCACTATTAAATAGAAACCTGAAAACATAAATGTCTCTTGGTATTTTGTGGACTACCGGAAAAACATCACTGACCCTTGGACTAAATATCTTCAAAACGTCAAATAGTCATATTTCACACGGAAACTTTCATAGGAAACTTGATATGGAATTACATATAAAATATTTCCATATGTTGCAATAATTTTTCAAAATGCGTAAACAATTATTTTATGTTGTCAACGAGATATGTAATAACATTTATTTAGTACAACTAGTAGTACTTGTAGTATTATATTCAAGTATGGATCTTCAACAATATACCAATATTTTTAAATAGTTCAGAGGAAATTATTTACAGTGGGTTTTAAAAAGTTTTCGGTAATATAGAAAAAGATATTTGGTCTGACAAAAATATTTCTGAACGTGAATATACTATTTAAAGGTAAAGCATATAAAAGTAGGGTAATTTTATAGAAGCCCAATGTAGCAATCAGTTAAGGAATAAGAATCTGTTGAGTATCGCATGATCCCAATCAAACTCAGCTGCTTAATAGATTACAAAGCAAGAAGACTTTTACGCTGCTAATCAATAATTTAGACCAATTTTACATACACAATAGGCAAATAGGCTGTACAATTAAATAGTTTTCTCGAAAAGATATTTTGTCTTTACCTCAAGAATATTTTATATTTAAAAACATGACAAAACGCAATGTGATCTAAAATTTTTTACTATTTATTTATTTATTCATTATCAAATAGCGTAAATAGGTACCATCCATATTCTCTTAATGTCGATGCAATTTTTAATCAGGAAAAACATTAAATTTTACAACAAATTTATGTTTTTGGGCTTTGATTGATAAGAAGGGGCTATTTAAATTATTTAAAATAACATGTCATTTATAAATTAATTTGTACAAGGTTTTGAATTACCAATTACCGACTTATTTCTATTTTAAAAAAATTCTTTTAGGAAAACAAACTTTTCAAAAGCAACAGGACTGTATTGGACCAAAAGGAAATATTTAAAATCGTTTCTTTAACAACTGTAATGTAAGTGCTTATGATAGAAACATAGAATTAACTGGACCACCAATATTAGAGTCCGAAGTAAAATATACGATCCTAGTTTAAAAAATTATATGGTGTTCCTCAACTTCTAACAGCTTTATCCTTCATCCCACATAGTTCTCATATTTTTACGTCTGAAGTGACCAAATCACTGCAGTCTTTATTCTTGAACATTTTTTGAGACTATAGTCATACGGATTAAATACTAAAAGATTGGCTTAAATCAACCTTCGTGGCGATACCAAAGAAACACAATACTAGTCGCTGCATAGAACACCGTTAAATTAACTTAATGCGCCACACATTAAAGGCGATCTTAAAAATAACAAATAAGGAAATCTATAACAAATGTGAAGAAAGAGAAGAGAAGACACTCAAGTTCTGGTACAGAAATAATGTTTTCATTTGCTTATTGATAACCATACGGCCATTGACAACGTCCGCCAAAAACTATTGATACAGACGTTAATCGAAATAAGGCTTGATGGCAAATACATGGGAATAAATCAACAACTATATTGGAATCAAAAAGCGGAACTGAGTATCGCAAACGGCCTATACACAAAAGAAATCGAGTAAGATAGGAAAGTATTCGCTCCCTACTACTGTTCAACATTTATGTAGAAAAGATATTTCAGCTTACACCGAAGACCGGAAAAGCCATTAAAATTAATGGTCTTCCTATAAATACCCCAAGGTATGCTGACGATAAAGCCATAATAGTCAACCATGCAGAGAATCTGTAAGATTTAAAGAATATCGATAATGAAGTTGAAGAGGAGTACGAGCGTAAACCAAATTTTTGATAATCAATTAAAGAGCCCGTAAGAAGAGCTACTGTCTAAAGAGAACTGTTAAGCCTCGTTAAGCAGCCATAGGTTACATACCCAGGCCATATTCTACGAAATAACAAATATAATCTCGTAAATGTCATCTTGACATGTAACTTTCATTGTATACAGGATAAGACCTTAAATAAGAAACTGGTACAGCATACTTGATGTCAGTACTATAATAAGAAGAGCGGAAGAAAGATCTCTATACTCGATAACCACTATGAACACCTACACGCAGCATAGAGTATGGCATTCAAAGAAGAAGTCAAATTAAATATGTTATTTTTATTATTATGTAACTCTGTATTTTTAAAATATAAAAAAATATCTTCTTCTTTCAGTGGTATCTCTGACGTTAGCAATTACATTGATGAGTTGTTTACAGTCTTCAGCTAAACGAAATAGTTGTTTCATACTGCCTATATCTGTCTAATCGCAAATGTTCTTGTACCATGAGGTCTTGCTTAATTAATATGAATTCCTTCCAATTTATTCTCTAGGGGCCTATATTTTACCTTTTTTAATAAGCTGAAGAATTGTGTGTCGGTATCCTCTAAGAATAAGGCTTAGATATGAAATCTTTCTTATTTTAATAGATTCAAATAATTCACAAACAGCATTTACTCTATTTAACACAGATTCGTTAGTTTACATCGCTGCTTAGGGTACTTGGAGCCTTCTATTTTATTTTTACTGTTGATTGTTCACGTGACACAAAACAATAACTACTGGCTGACAAAATATGGATTAATCGTCAATAAGAAATTATAAATAAAAAAAACTAATTTTTAAACTAAAGGTAATAACAAAACTCCTTTGTAGAATCAGTCAAAAGTAGGTAAAACCTCTACCGATACTGTGTATATGCTTTACATAAAGTTAATAAAAAAATTTAAAAAATATATAAAGAACTGATTTAGAATATTTTTCCTGTATGATCAAAAATTTTTAAAACCCAGATTGCTTACTTTTGGACCATTTCTAATCTTGCTTTTAAATTCTATAAAATAATATTATTTTACAGTTTCAGTTAAAATTAAACAAGTCTTTTTCTTAAAAAAAATAAGTTCGAGCACTTTATAATATCATTTTCGTTGATAGTGTTCGTGGCATTAAATAAACTGTGTTATTTCAATATATAAAGTTAAATATTCTAAATTAAAATACTAACAACTATTTCAACCGAATTAAATAATATATAAAAATATTTAAGATGATTGTCAGTTTTGAAAAAAAAAATTACTTTGAAGGATTTTTCGAAAGACAAGATTCGAATTCGTCGTGAAAAGTTAAACAAGATTTAACTGACCTTAAACAAATTCTAGAAACATAATGTTTTAGTAATTATTTTCTCATTATCTTAACAGAAAAATTCAAAATTCGTTTCAGATTGGGAGTATACAATTAGGTACATCATAAAGATTTTTTTAATCTGTTTTGTACTGCATTTCCATACACATATATGCATTGTTTCTCCAGATACAATTGGCACAACCGTGAAGAAAGCAACTGAAGCAAAATTATTAAGAACGGAAGCAGATACTGATGTTCAGTTTTCGAAACAATCTTTAGTGGTTTTCTTTGAGGTCGTTTAAAAGGTCAAGCTAGACTTATAAGTAACTAGAAACCAAGTGAATACCCAGACTAAATTTTAGATAAACTTAGGTTTTATCTATCGGATCTATTCTCTTCTAGTTCTCAAGTTTCTTTGTACTCTTTTATAGGTCTTTTTTCTTTTTTAGTTTTTCTTTGATTTTTTTTTAATCCTTTGTATTCATTTACAAAAAAGTTGTATTTATTCCATTATTCCAGCTATTGCAATCTTGACATCAGTGTTTGGGATTTTCGTGGTGGTATTTTGTGTGCAATATTTTTGGCCAGGTCAGTAATATTTGTGTCTTGTACTATTGTGTAATAGTTAGCCACAAGTTTAAACTAAATTTTTTTTCACCGGATCAAAATTGTAACTGTGTAGACCGTTGTACGCATTTGTGAAAGCACTAACGTGTTACGTTCTAAAATATCATACTTCTAGAATTTCCTTAAGTCAGTGATAAAGGTAAATAGATATAGTAGAAAAATATTGCCGAAAGGAAAACAAATCGCCTTTAGAAATCTTTCAGCATAACTATTACATGACTCTTGTTCTGTTTCAGATATAGTTCCTTATCTATAAGTTTAACGTTATTGTCAGTCACCTTAATTTGACTTCTTTATCTACACTTATGTGAAATTAGAGCCTAAGACTCCACGAATAAAACTATTAACGAAACTACTACTTCCTCAGTTGGAAATGATCTTTTAGAATTTTTATGGTGGATATGAACGATGAGAGGAGATATTGGGAAATGCAGAATGTGCAAAGCAAGAAATATGTGATGTTATGTTTGAGACAGTGTTCGAAAAGCCTTAGCGTGGGATAATATTGAGTACACTTTGTTAAAACTAGGAATGACTTTGAAAATCCTACAATCGGCACGCCCATTTGATGCGCAGCAAAAGTACCGAAAATATTTTAATATGATAAGTAAACTTGATCTGTAAATTGGAACCCTATGGAGCATTATGCATGATCTAAAACCTAAAATGTAAGCATCAGGTGTCAAATATTTTGTTCCAACAAAGTTTCTAGTTTGTCAAAAATATAAATTTTATTTATAAGTAAGTATTTATGAGTAAGTCCCTTTTATGTTTGACAAATCGAAAGCTGTTATTAAAAATGCTGATTTAAATTTAAAAATCACGTTTAAATATGTAGTTTTAATCACTTAGCAAGAAATGATTTCAAAATTGTTTCAAAAAAATTCCTGTTAAAAAGACTAAAACCCATAATAGAACAAAAATGTGTTATCTCACTTTATTAAGTTGGGTTTAGACACGATTACGCAACAAAAAAATCGAGGCTCTAGAATCACTAATCAAATATTAGCTGTTGGTGATGATGAATTTAAAACAAAAGAAAAATTGCGTATAAAACTGAACGAGGCCAAATCAGAACACGTAGACTTTACCAACAAAACACTAATTAAACCCCAATAGTATTAAATGGTACTGCTCTACCATATGCCAGATTTAGATGAAAACAATACATCAAATGGGCATAACAATGCACTTAGTGACACTTATTAAAAATCTGTGCTAGTCCAATATAGCAACAGTACGACTAGATCAGAAGTTCTCAAAGCAATTCAAGACCGAGAGAGGTGTTAGACAAGGATACGTGTTGTTTAACATTTATGGTGAAGATGTCATGAATATGGCTTTAGATAAAGATGCCGGTGGAGTAATAGTGGCTAGTAGGAAAATTTAAAATTTACGATTTGCTGATGACACTACACTTATAGCAGCAAAAGAACACGAAATGTTTAATTTCCTGCGAAAAGTTTAATTTCCTGCGAAAGCAATAAAGTTGGTCTGAAAATTAATAAAGTCAAGACAAAAATAATGATGGTCAACAGATTACACATTATTCAACTGACTAACATGTTATAGGAATGCCAGATAGTAGACATTTTTGTCCATTTCGGGTCTAGTATAACTAACGATGGTACTGTGAAGCAGAAGCAGCAAATGCGATGAGTCCCCTTGAAAAGACAGATCTATCTCTCACAATATTAAGATGAGACTAGTAAATGCCCTTGTATTCTCAAAATGTCTCTACGGGGCAGAGACTTGAACTATTCGCGGACGTGAGCGCCAAAAAATTGATGTCTTTTGATGCCTTTGAGATGTGGTCCTGGAGAAAAATGCTGCGCATACCTTGGACAGCTTATAGGACAAACGTTTGCCAATATATAAACCAACTTGAGATTAAACAAAGGTTGTCTACAATATGTTTGTAACGTATTCTGCAATTTTTAGGTTATGTGGTTCGCAGAGGTGATGATAGTTTGGAGAAATTAATTGTTTCTGGAAACATTCTGGAAGCAGTATGGATATATAACATACAGTCCTGGGAATATTCCAGTACTAGCTTTATCAAAGTGATTCAAGCGTTCCAGAATAAAGTACTAAGGGATATTGTAAATGCTCCTTGGTACGTAAGAAAGAGCGACCTACACAGAGACCTGGGTATGGAAATGTGTGCAGATCTGATTAAAAGAAACATTAACATAGACTTCCACATAACATATCAATGTGAAGACTATTCAGCTTCTGGATCAGCTGGAAATAGTGAAAATATTTACGGGAACTAAACCTTTTAAAAAGGAAAAGACAGTTGAGATTTGATTTCACGTATAGTGCATCTATGTATTTACTTATACGTATTTCGGTCTAATTCTGTCTTAGGAAGCAACTCTAGCATGGCTTCCAATGGACGCAAATAGCGACATCTGATATTAAAATCCGTAATCTAGTTTTCGAAACCAAATTTAGATTTTTGCTTTAATCTGTGCCTTCTTAAAATTTCAAGGCAAAACAGACGTTAATAAAGATGTTATTAGAAACATGGGGAATCTAAAATTTGCATTCCAAGACATATCTCCTCAACTAAGCAAGCAACCTTTTAAGTTGGTAAAAATCCTCCTAAGCCAATATTAATACTTTAGGTTTAAAAGCAAAGTAATATGCGTATTAAGTACTAAGTTAAGCTAGCTAAAAGATTGAGTAATACTTTTGGGGTGATTTCAATATACTTGGTAGCTCATAATGATGAGCCAGTTTTATAAACTAAGATAGGATACGTTTCAAAACACTTCTCAGTTAATGCAATGATTGGTACATGTTTTGAAACAAAGTAATAATCCCAATAATTGAATAACAAACATTCAAAAAGCAATTTTCGATAGAGTTCAATGGTATACGGACTACTAGTGCTTAAGCATATCCCATAATGGCTGCCAGTAGCTCACGTAAACTTATTAGTGACCTCTTATCGTTTCTTATACATATACATATGAGTTCTTAGTGAGGCTAATACCTTTCTGGATATTGTAACACAAATACTCCTACACGCTAATAAAATAGAGTAATAGTAACTGTTGACCAGTATTTTCTAGCACTACTTAACTGACCTATCCTCTTGTTCTGAAGGGGCCTTTACACTAAAAGATTATTATTTCTTTAGAAGCTAAAAACTCTACTATTTTTATTTTTATATTTTTCGTAAATTTTAATGCGTGTAAGAGTCACTTTAAAACATTTCATGTTGGTATCTATAATTTCAGTGCCTTTTAGTTGTAATTAGTTTTTTTTTAATAATATTGTTGTTCTTGTCAAGAACCAAACTACTTTAATGTTGTACAAAACAATGTTCTCTTGAAATATCTAGTATATTACTGAAAAAACTTGATATTGGATGGCTGTATTTTATATTTTAGACCATGCATAATACGAAAATATTATATTTCCCAAAAAAAAATAGTAACAACGTTTTTACGTCAACTTATTAAGTCATATTTAAGAAGTTAATAGAGATATTAAAAAGGAAACACTGATTTTACGATTATCAGATATGAATACCTTTTTTGTTCTATTCAACCTAAATAAAACTATTAATAGAGTTGTCGCAAGCGTTATTTTGTTCTCTTTTTTTAAGTGAAGTTTGCTACGCCATACGAGTAAGAATGGTAGGTATTTCAAAACAAAAATCCATTGTTCTGTATTTTTGGTAACTTCTATATTCCCATAATAAAAGACTTTTAAACAACTACTCATATTATATGTGGTGTTGCGGTATTTATATCAACAAAATTGTACATGTTTCTATAATATCGTAAATTAGCAGGATGTGTCATAATTATTTGTAGATTACCCTAGAAGTGATAACTGGTAACAAATATTTTAAAGTAGGTATTTTGAAAACAATACTGACAAAATTGAATAATTAATAATCGTTTTCAGAGACAGAAAATATTTGACAATACCTTTCGAACGATATAGCATAGCACAATTAAAAGAAATTTTTTTCGTCTATTAGTTATTTTACCAGCTATCATTATTTTTAGTACTTTTATGAAACACCCTGTATTAATCGTCGTAATATTTTAGTAACAAATCATTAATGATCAAATCCGCAGCAACATGTAGGTATATAACAATGTTTTTAGTAATGGAAATGTTAATAAAAAGTTATAAAACTTATCAAGTACGTCAATTATTTTTCCTTTCTTAATATCTATATATATTTTTCATAAAAAACACACACCCATAAGTTAGAAACACACCTTCAAACTCTCAATCTTTCATGCCAAAGCAAATAGACCCTGCAACGTTAAAAATAGTAGTTTCGTCATTTATATGGAGCTTAAACTGATTTTAATCTTATAGGTGACTCTTAGAATTCGAATATTTAAGAAACTGTCTCGTTTATGTCAATTTTATGTAGAGGTGTAATTGATGGTGATCTTTCAACTTCGGGTGTCACGGTTTCGCAGTTTGAACTGCACGGTGTGAGGATCGTGGGGATAAGACTCGCGATTTCTGGGCTGCTGATTCCAACAGTTTCTTCGTATACTCGTTCCTGGAACATATATCATATTAATAATTAGAAATTAGAGATATAGCTCATTTAAATGCAGAGCAGAGCAGTTCCACGAAATATATTTTCAGGCAATCAAAACGCAATATTAAACAATTTGACAAAATTATTTTATATTTGAAAACAAAAATACTGTATTACTCAGTTAAACAGTAACTAAACTTCGCTTCTACAACGACTTTTTATTTTTAATACAGTAATTTTATTGTCATTAGGGACATACAAATAACTGATGAACATGAAAAAACTGAGTTATTTTTTAAGATTTCTAATTACTGGATTTAAAAAGAGTTGTTTTATTCATTTATTTTGCAATCAATCAAAAAGACATTTGTTAACTTTACATCATTGGAGCAAAGACAAATATTTCAATAAATATTTACTCTACATGAATATTATAACTATCGATTCTTATCTCAAGAATAGTACATCTAATGGTAATGTTTGCTTCAGGCGTCCCGTTTGTTGATTATTGTCCAATAAATTTAATTGATCCATGATTGCTAGATTGGATTTTGTAGCAGTACCTCACACCTCTATTTCGTAATACCAAATTGGCTTCAGTATGGCACTATTTTTTTTTTAATATAAGAATTTCCAGATGAGTCTCTTGTGCATATGTAAGCCTAAGTACTTTACAGTATCTACCGTCAGAAGAGGAGCATTGTTGAGTTATATTTAAAGTGAATCACTATGTCATTTAGTGAATACTATGTGGCTTGATTTAGATTCATTGAGTTTTATCTTCTACTTCCTAGCCCATTTCTGAACTTTATTTAAGTTTTCTTGGAGTAGTTCGTCCGCAAATTTGGCTGTATGTGCTTTATTATCAGTAGGCAAATTAGAGGTAAATAGTAGGTAAAGGATCGGCCCAAAAACGCTACTTTGAGGAACGCCTACTTTTATGAGATGTAGTCCGGTTATTTTATCTTCATATTTTACCTGGAAATATCTTGCTTTTAGGTACGATTATAGTATGTCATACATACTATACTATACATACATAGTTTATACGGTAGTCTCTGAAGCCACACCTTGTCAAAAGCTTGACTGAGATCGATGAATTCAGTTGAGCAATATTGTTTATTTTCAAAAGAGTTCTGTTCAATTGTTAAATGTTTAAGTGTTGTATATTAATCACTTTTAATCACTACAGAAGTAAAGTACAGGATACAATATGCTGAATACAAAAGATTTTTAACATCTTGTAACGTTATAAACGTCCAATCCTTATTAATTATTAATATAATATATAATTATAATTATTTTATTTTAATTTCTTTAGTAATTTATTAATTTCTCTAACTTCAGTTTCTCTTTTCACTATTTTTTCTTGAAAAAGTAGTTAACACCCTTTGTTTTTCTTTTCTTTCTCTGTCTTTCCTCTGTAAAAAATATAACCTCAATTATTTAGCCACAACAACATCCAGTTTCCTATCTCCCTAATTCATAAAACATTGCTGATACCTGCTTTTTAAGACCAGTTGATAAGACTGAACTCATTCGAACAATTCGTAGTATAAAAGGCAAATCGTCTTGTAGTACAGATGGATTATCTATTAAAATGTTCTCAAATCTTCCGCATAATGTTTTGGAAGTCATGGTTTTGCTAGTAAATGATTCCCTTGAAAAAGGTACATTCCCTAACTGTCTAAAGACTGCCATCGTTATTTCTCTTCATAAAGGTGGAGAAAAATTTGATGCCTGCAACTATAGACCTATTGCCTTGTTACCAGCACTATCAAAAATTATGAAAGGCTTATAAAAGTTCGACTTATGCCCTTTCTTCTTAAACATAATATTTTATCGCAAAATCTGTTCGGCTTTTTGTCTAATAAATGTACTAATTATGCCATGTTTTCTGTGTTACATGAGGTATATCTATCACTAAATAGTAACCTCTCCGCCACCATTTTCTGCGACTACTCCAAAGCCTTTGACTGCGTAAATCAGGACATTCTATAAAAAAATTAACTTTCTATGAAATTTGGGGTGTGTCTTTGAATTGGTTCAAAACTTACTTGGTAGGTAGGAAACAATTGGTTAGAATAAAAGACACCGACTCTAGTTGTAAAGATATTAAGTGTGGAGTATCGCAAGGTTCAGTATTAGGTACCATTCTTTTCTTACTTTTTATTAATGGGAATATTTTTCTTACTTGAAAATTAAAGGGAAAATTTTTCGATTTACTGATGATACCAGTATTACTTGGAGCAACTCTAACATTTCAACTCTTCACTCAATTATACCCGCTGATTTGCTTATAACCAAGGCTTAGTCAGACTCCAACTTACTTAGCTTTAACGTGGATAAGACAGTAGCTTTTGAATGAGAGCCAAATCAGTATCGTTAATTCCGTAAAATTTCTAGGTATTCTTATCGACAGTATACAGTATGCATCTAGGGATCTGAACAGAATTTAACTAAGTAGTAATAATTATATTTCATTTTGTCCTTGCCATTCGCTTTTTGTTTAATTGTAAATTCGTAGAATGGCAAGGAACTGAAACTCCTTTTGATGTGTCTCTAATACAAGTTGTTGTTTTTTTTTACAACATAATCAGTAGGCTACATCCACATGTTACAACTGCAGCTCTTCGGAGTACATAACATCTAATTAGGAGGACAAACAAGCAGCCCATCGAAGCCATAAGTATCATCCTTACTAGTTTATTCTTATGTTAAGCTTTGGTAGGGTTGATTATTGTTTCTTATTTTTTTTTTAATATTATTGGTTAAAATTTGGTTTATTTGCTATCAGCTAAGATTTTAGGTTCAATCCATAGTTTGACAAGACAAGACGAACTCACACTCGCGATACTGAGCTAAGCAAGGCATAGACGATAAGCTCCCATGGTTGATTAAGGTATTATTTTTACAATAATACTTCAATTCATGAATGTGTGAATATGAATACTTCAATTCTCTGTGGTTGTCTTATCGTTACAACCTTTATAAAAACCGACTTTATTTGCGGTAAAATACAAAAAGTATTTTGTCGCAAATAAATACTGTACAAAAGCTACACTATTTAAACATATTTAGATGTTTGTCATTAGGGCCCTCTAATCAAAATATATCGAATTTTTACCGTCGAGTGATAAAAATTTTATTTAAAATTAATTTCGTCCGCGTAACTGACATTCAAAATCACCGGTTGCTTCAAGCATTGTTTCTGAGAGAACGGTTCATTCTACACAAAAGTGCTAATAATTATTTTTGTTTAAAATTATCTCGTCTACATTTTTTTGTTTGAAATATTTTTTTTTTCACTGCGTTTAGTTTATAAATAAATTGATTTTTTCTGTTTTTCCTTCTATGAGGTGGCATTTTAGGGGGAAGGCGGGGGTTAAAAGTGGTAAACTTTCTTGCATCTTTTTTAAGGTCCCAAAATTGACATTCTTAGCAACATTCAGCTTGTTTGTATGATTTTTAGGGATAAATCTCTGATGACTGGACTATCTCAATAATATGCTCTTTGAGATAATAGGATTTTGTCGTTTTACGAATCTTGGGAAAGATGTTGCAAATTTAATTTGTTAAACTGTTAGCTTTTTTGCAAAATATAATATAGATTTCTTTACTAACTCAGTGGTCGGGATCGGTAAGTAAATATCAAAGGTTAAATTTTTGACATGATTAGGTCTTGCTGGAAAAACATGTAGGGCCTTTACGAATTAAGCAAGCAGTTTCTAAAATATATAAAGAGGGAAGCGGTAAAATCTTGCAATTTTTAAGTTATCAATGTTTAGTTTATGATCAAATGTTATCTCTGTTTCTTTAATTGAAAATTAATTAATAAAAAGTACTAATCTCTTAAAATAAACTTTAGCCCAAACCTTACCTGCGTTTTATCATATTTAAGTCTTTTCCATATAAATTTTCCATTATTTGGTGCCGGATTTGTCTCATTATTTGGCGAATAATAATTGGGATTTGAAAAACTTCTTCCCGTACATCCATACGAGTATTTATTCTTCTCCTGCTTTCGTGTTAGGAGGAACATCACTAAAATAATGCACAACATGATAATGAACAACATCGGTAACAGCGTCATCGCATAGAAAGTATGGGAATCCCTAGTTTTTATATTTCCTTGAGTGTCTTGATTATGGTGAGGGAATCTGAAGTCGTCATAGTCGTCGAATCTTTCTTCGAATTCATCGCACTTGTAGTTACTGCCGGTTGGACATTTAAGAGGGACGTATGCAGTGGGTTCTATAAAAAAGCATTAATGTTAAATGAAAATTTGATATAAAATAGTTGGATTTAGATTGAAGATTACTCAAAGTATTAATTCAATTCAATTCAAAGTATTAAAGCATTTAAAGTATTAAATTATACGAATAATTAAAAGTATTAAATTATACGGCAAAATGCCGATGTAATTGGATCACTAACCAGGAACCGTATGTCCCTACTCGGAGTAGAATTTTTACATCCGGAATTTTGTACGTTCTCCCATCAATATTGATATCATTAACATAGGCAAGGTATATATATATATATATATATATATATATATATATATATATATATATATATATATATATGTATATATATATATATATATATATATATATAACGGTATACTGTAGAAAGGAGCTCCCTAGGTCATCCCTCTGGATTCCTACTCTACTTTTAACTTTTTCAAGAGTTAGTTTTGTTAAATTTACCTGATTAAAGTGATTAATTTCTGTCAGGGTTGCAATCTGATGAATTTCAATTATCGATGGTCGATTTACCACCTATGAAACCAACCTGGTATTTTTCTACTATTTCCATACTGTTACGGTGGCATAGTATTGTGGAAAATATTTTATACGCTGCATTTAGAAGTGTAATTCCTCTGAGGTTATAGCATTCAAAGATATCTCCTTTTTTGTGTATGGTGCATTGTTTTAATATTTTAATCACTGAGGAGGAATTTCTTTGTCCATATTTCCTTTATGAGCTTGTGTAGTGCCATCATAGTATCGTGGTCACATTCTTTATACAGTTTAGCTGGGAGATTACGAGTGCTTTGTTTCTGGCTAGTTTTTTAACTGCGTGTTTAACTACAAGAATCATTGGTTTTTCATCTTCCCTCTTGTATCTTCCGCTTACCTTATATCTATCGTTTTCCAGTTTTTTTTCTTCTTCCTTTATATACAAGAGAGTTTACAAACGTTACTTGAGTTTTCGCGGTAACCGCAGCCATTTTCTAAAGTCATTACAATTCTTGCTGTGATAACAGTATTTATGTTTATTGCAATATACTAAAAAGACTAAATAGAGAATTTAAAATAGACAGATAAAATAACAGAAACATATAACTATGATAATAATAATTCTCAGGAATTTGGGTAAGGGGCTCCTTTATATGACATGATTATCGAAACAATTGGGTGAAGGGCTCTTTGATGTCACATGCTTATCGAAAAAACAACTATTAAGAAGTTTCTATGATATTTTAAAAGTGTATTGACAAATAATCCAACCAGGTGACCATTTCCAAGATAAAATGTTGTCTTAGAATAAGAATATTTTTGTTCTGAAGCTATTTTCTTGTGGCATTTTAAATTAATTACTATTTAACTGGGAATAAGCCACAATTAAAGGTAAAAATACGTTTATTGACGTTTCAATTTCTACTTCGGAAATCTTTTTACCTTTAAAATTGTTACCTTTAATTGTTTGTGACTTATTCCCAGTTAAATAGTAATTAAGAATATCTTTGTCCTCAAAAGTGACAATCTGTCATAAAGACAAAAATAGGATATACCTACTGTAATTGTAAAATAGTAATGGAATTTTGCTAGGGAAAGACAAAAGACAGTTAAGGCTGCTAAGGCTAGTCTGAAAAAGTATTTATTGAGACTTGTATTAGTTAACCTATGTTGTCACTTAAAACTAAATATATAATAACTTGATTATTTTGCATTTTGAGATTGGAGTTCAAAACATTAATAAATATGGAATGTTATTTATAATTCTTGTTATTTGAATGTTTATAATTCTTGTTATAATACTTGTTTATGAGTTATTTTAAAAAATATATATAGTGGTTCACAAACTAACCTGTTTTACAACTAGGATCAACTTTATCCGGGCATGCACATGTATAATTCTTAACTTTGAACAAGCAAAGATGCGTACATCCACCATTATCAACAGCACACGGATTGAAGCCTTCCTGTCGCGATGACGTCACCATGGTTATTCCCATAGCAGCGTCAAGTTGAGGTCTGACGATGATTTGGTCTCTACCTGTGAATTTTTCTGCACGTTTGACAGTCTTTTGTACCCAGTCAGTCCAATAAAGGTACTTGTCGTACTAAAAATGAGTAAAAATGGTATGTCAAAATAATAAAAAAAAATATAAGAATAATAAAATCAAACTATATTCTTTCCTGTGACTCTTGTCTCCAGTTTTTATTAATTGCATTCCGGTGGTCATTCGATCCTGTGGGAAGTCGTCACACTTCTTTTGTTCTGAGTAAAGAACCCACAATGCGGTAAAACAAAATATGCTCGTAGTGTGAATGTGATTATTTTATGTAATTTAATATTCTGATTAAGTAAAAGTTTCATTATATGGAGAGAAACTTGTTTATACACTTACCTGTGTCAATGAAAATGGATGGAAGGACTGAATATCAAACTTAACCCTATTTTTACCATGCAAATCAGTAGTCTCGATTTTTTCGTCATTCAATTTTGCATCTATCCAGTACACTCTCCTTAGTCCAAAATCAATGGTAAGACCAATGGGAAAACTAATCTGTGTGTCTACTAAAATTGTTCTTCGAGATCCATCTAAGTAAGCCCGTTCTATTTTTGGTTGTCCCCAGTCGGACCAAAACATTAATCCAACTTTAGGATACAAAGCTATAGATCTAGGGTCGCACAGGTATTTACTAATAATTGTTTTCCTATGGGAACCATCCAAGCGCGCTACCTCGATAATTTTATGGCCGGTATTGGTCCAGTAAATGTTATTGGCTATCCAGTCCACTGCAATTCCATCGGGGGAAGAAAGGTTCTTGTTAACAATGGTTTTCACATCTGATAAATTGTACATTGATACGGAACCAATTGCATTTTTCTCGATGTCTGTGTAGAAAATTAGCTTTTTCTCCCAATGGAAGTCTACCCCGATTACGTTTTCAATGTCATCTACTTGAAGGGTAACATCCCACATATCATTTGTGTCTAGACTTATTTGGGTAAAAGCGTAACTGAAACAAAAAAACAATCAATATGCCATTATTATCAGCAAAATCAATTACAAAATAATATTTCTAAAAAAAATTATTGGTTACTAATTTATTAATCTATATTAACCCGTAACCACAGACGCGGAGTCAATTTGACTCATTGCAAGTACGTAGTGATGAGTTTCGAGATTTCCCCCCACTCTATATGGCCAGGCGTAGATGTACCTTTTCAACGATCAGTATTCAACGGTTAGTGAGACGGCTGTGTCGTTTGTATATGTTATTTGCATTTTATTACGACTTCAGTTTTCGACGGAGTCAAAAAGACTACAGGTCTGTGATAACGTTATATTTCTTGTTTCCATATTTTATAAATCTGCTCGGTTTATTTTAGGTTTTAGTAATGGATTTCGAAAGTAAAGGTGGTCCATCAAAAAGAATCAGATATGGCGATGCAAACTATGAAGAAACTTTGCTGAAATGGGCGGATGAGGTCGATGAAAACGAGAGCGATGCTGATTCAGATTCCGAATTTATTTATAGCGGTCATGAAAGCGATTCGGAGCAAGAAATGGAGGATAATTGTGAAAGACTTTCTAGTGAAGATGAAGGCGTAATAGAAAAAGGTGAGCCATCGCATGAAGTTTCTGTGGAAAACTATTTTTACGGAAAAAAACCGTTTCAAATGGTCCAAGATATCCCCGTATTCTAAAAATACACGCACTTTGCAACATAATATTGTAATTAAGTGTCCGGGTATAAAAATTACAAAAATTCATAAAGCTGATCCAGAAGAAATTTGGAATGTGTTTTTTGATAACCGCATTATTCACATTATTCTTGAATACTCAAATTTACGCCTGGCAAAATTGAGGGAGAAATATCAAAACAAAAATTCAAGTGATATTCGGGATTTAGATATTGTTGAGCTGAAGGCTTTTATTGGAATGCTTTTGCTTACAGCTATCTTCAAATCTAATCACGAAGATATTCGTTCAATTTTTGCTACTGATGGATCGGGCAGAGATATATTTAGATGTGTGATGAACTCGAATCGTTTTGCTGTCATACTCTCATGCTTACGATTCGATGACCCAGAAACTAGACTCGCACGAAAAAAGGATGATCCTTTAGCTCCAATATCCGAGATATTCAACGCTTTCGTTAAGAATTCCCAAAGCGCTTACACTCTAGGTACAAACACATGTATTGATGAAATGTTAATTTCATTCCGAGGACGGTCAAGGTTTAAGATGTACATGCCAGCAAAGCCTTGTAAATATGGGTTGAAAATGATGGCGTTGACAGATGCTAGAACTGGATATTTATATAATGCATATATATATTGTGGTAAAGATTCAGATGGGTTCGATTTGCCAGAAAATGAAAAAAAATATTCTAAGCCTACGCAAGCCGTTCTCAAACTTGCTAAGCCAATTTTCGGCACGCACAGGAACATAACCGCTGATAATTGGTTTAGTTCCATAGAGTTAGTGAATTTATTAAAATCAAAAGGTCTAACATATGTTGGAACATTGAAAAAAAATAAGCGTGAAATTCCAGTTAGCTTTTTACCAAAAAAAGAAAGATCTGCAGGTTCTAATTTGTACGGTTTTACCAGTGACATTACCCTACTTTCTCACGTTCCAAAGAAGCACAAGGCCGTTTTGTTAGTCTCATCAATGCACCATGATGAAGGAAACATAGGAGAATCGGGCAAACCGGAAATAATCGACTTCTACAATCTAACAAAAGGGGGAGTGGATAGCTTGGATGAAAAGTGTAGTGTCTATTCAACGGGTCGAAGAACGAGGCGTTGGCCAATGGCAATTTTTTATAGAATGCTGGATATTTCGACTGTTAATTCTTTTTTGGTTCATCAGTCGTGCCGAGACAATGTGGAGCTGAAACGTTTCGAATTCAATAAACAACTTGCAATGCAGCTAGTAGAACCAGAAATGAGACGTCGTTTTCAAAATATGCACATCAGTCGGGAAGTCAGAATGTGTATTGGTCGTGTTTTAAAAATAGAAATAGAATGCTCTAGTGCTAACCAGGAAGAAAAATTTGAAGTCAGAAAATACTGCAAGCGTTGCCCAGCTAAAAGAAGACGAAAAACAGCACATTTTTGCATAATTTGTAAAATTCCAATATGTATGGATTGTACCAAAAGGGTTTGTGTGGAGTGTGCACAATGAAAATATACGTTGGGAAAACTTACTGCACGTTTCCATAATATTATTTTTATGTTAATTTCTAATTAATGTAATTGTTATGTTGTATGTTTTTAACAAATTTTGAATAAAAACTGCTTAGCAAGTTTTTTTTTTTAGTTAAAAATATTGCGAAAAATAATGTATCAAAATTTTTCAAAAAATGTATGCATTACATTTATTTCTCTACAACTTGATTGCGTTTCATTAAAATACATCCATAATTATATTAAACAGTAATACTTATACCCTACTTAAGCAATATAAGGTAGAGGTAAGCTTAGTTTTCCCCATAAATTTTTTTCAGTTATTTAAATATAGGAGTCATTTTGACTCAACGTCTGTGGTAATGTTCAGTTAGTTGGACGTCTGTGGTTACGGGTTAATATAAATGAATCGCCGAAATGTTTGTTTAGGCATCACTTCAGAATGACTGCAACTAAATAGAATTTTTTTTTGTTTTAATTGGTATTATTAGAAGAAGGATAAAAGGAAAGAAGAAGAATAAAATCGAGGCGTTTGAGATGTGGTTGTTTCGTAGGATACTAAAAATTCCATGGACTAGCAGAACCAGAAACGAAGAAGTTCTTCGAAGAATGGGACATCAACGAACTCTATTAAATATTATTAAGAGGCGTAAACTAGAATATCTTAGACATATAATCAGAGGACCAAGATATGACTTCCTTCGGCTAATTCTCAACGGTAAAATCGAAGGAAAGAAATGGATAGGACAAAAGAAACTCTCTTGGTTGAGGAATTTGCCGCAGTGGACAGGTTTGACAGCAGACCAATTGCTACCCGTAGCGCAAGACCGAGATCAGTATAACAATATTATAAGCATGGTAGTCGCCGACGTTAGGTAGGGATATGGCACTCTAAGAAAAAAGATTAAAAGAAGGTTTATGTAAAAGATAATTTTCAAACAATTTTAGAAAAAAGATAGTTTTTCTGACAGTTAAAACCGCAGTATAACTAATAGACATCCTTTATATTTCAGAATTTTTCTGAAAATGTTGATCGCTTCAAACCAAAATTGAATGACGAACAAACATGTGGTAGATATAGATAAACGGGCATTTGGATTAAATAATGATTAGTTTCTAAAAGTTGCTTTCCACTTTGCTATTCATTGTGGTCTTGCTGATAGATTTAACACTACCAAGAGAATGGTTGGTAAAGACTTTGCACAAACTTTTATCAAAAAATTTAATCTATCACTGGGTAAACCGGAAACAACTTCCACTGCTAGATTAACGGCTTTTAATTAAGTTAATGTAGAAATTTTCTTTAGGGTATTCAAAGAACTCCATCAAAATATTCATATTCTGCTACTCAAATTTACAATATTGATGAAACCGGTTTTTCTTTCTACTACCAAGGATCCTAAAATATTAACCCCAAGAGGCAACCGTCGAGTGTTGAAGATTTCGTTGGCAAAAAGAGGGGATAACGTAGCTGCTGTTTGTAGCGTAAATGCCATTGGAAATTTTATATCACCGTTCCCCATATTTCCAACAGTAAAAATGCAACCAGCGGTTAAAAATGGAGCGCTCAAAGGGACTATGGCAGTAACTTATCCTTCTGTATGGATAATTTCTAACAACTTTGTTAAATATTTAAAACATTTAAATAAACACGCTTGTTCAAGTGAAAACAAGCCTGTGTTAGTGTTAATGGATAATCACACCAGTCACGTTTCTTTGGAATTCATTATGCTACGCCGGAAAAATACCATTACTCACAACATCTTTTCCCACCGCATTCCAGTCATCGTATGCAACCATTGGATGTGTCGATATATGAACCTGAGACGCATGGCTGTCGAAGATTTTTTGATTAGTAATTCGGGTGGTCTTATAACATTGTATGACATTGCAACCCTATTTGGAATAGGGTAGTTGAAAGCAGCAAATGTTTCAAATGCTCTTAGTGGTTTTAGAGCCACTGGTATATATCCTGTTGATATCCAGGTGTTTGATATACTTGATGTTGAGGTATATTTAACAACAAATAAAGACAAACCAATTTCAACCGAATGTTCCAACTAAGTGGGCAAAATTTAGAGGTCGATTCCTCTAAATTTATGTCAGATATTCAAGGAATGTCACCAATATATTTATTAAAAGAAACAGGACCTCAGGAATGTGTTTAAATCTCTGACGAAATTTCATATATTCCTATTCCAACTACGCCAGGTCCATCAACATCAGTAATAGCTGGTCAGACCCATGTAACAAATTATGTATTGTATAAATGTCTACCTAAATTACCTGTTGCTGAAGTGGGAGCAAAACGACCCAGAAATAAATTACCATCTCTCGTTATTTTCAGTCCCTTTAAGAGTAGTAAAAATTTTAGAAGAAAAGGAAGCTGCAAAATTGGCAAAAGAGAAGATAAGGAATATAAAAGAGAAGAAAAAAATTGAAGAAGAAAATAGAAGCAAAGACTTTCAACTTTTAGTTTAAAAAATGGGAAATTTACTCTGGATAAAGGTTAGGGTAAAACGACTAAGAGAATAATAAAATTTGACGACTCTTCTAACTCGTCACTATATGGAATATGCTAACACTGATTTAGAGGACGAAATAGATTGCATAATCTGCAGTAAAAGAGGAAAAGAGGATCTATGGTATTGCTGCAGCAGATGTAGGGAAGGGGCTCATGCTGAATGCACTGGAATGAATAGTCATGAAGCAAAGGTAAAACGATTGACTTGTGATTGGTGCTTGTAAAAATGTAGGACCCATTACAAGTGTTGCAGTAGTTTCAGAATAAATGCATTTTACTTTATTTGTTTCATTTCTAATATAACTGCGTTTCTTTCTTAGAACAGTCATACCTCGTCATCTTACCATCCACGAAAAATAAGATGACGAATATGAGATACATAAGTTTTAAAATTTTTATTTGAAATATTAAGCCTTACCTAATGTAAATTTAATATAAATTTTTAATATAAATAAAATTTAAAGTGCTACTATCAACGAATTATCTTGTAGTTGCATGCATTCTGTATACTTGCAATAAAATCTATCTATTGTATACATAAAATTTGACATTTTGTAATACGTTAAAGTAGTTTTTTTTTAAATATTTGTTTCTTGCATTTAAAATTTAAAATACCTATTTGTCTGTCTATTGTTAACATAGGTATTGGTTTTACCCAGTATAAAGTTGTCTTTATTAACATATTTGTAATCTAATCGATAACATTCAGGTTTTAAGGTGCATATAAAAATAATTTGTGTTGCACCGTAAGATTAACGAAAAAGGTTGTTTGAAAAAAGTCGGGAATTTGGAGTTCCCAGAAAATCTTAACGTACTTACGACTGGAAAATTTGAAAACGTTGAAATGAATAAAGAGGCATATTTGTTTTCACCAATGAAAAGGAATGAAAGTTATTGATGGAATGTAGTGTTAAGATAAGAGAGTATTTGGAATGAAAGAAAACGGCAGTAAGTATAGAGACACTCTAAAGAGTTGATTGAAGATTGACTAAAGAAAACTACAGATTGAAGAAATATGTGTAGCTCAAAAGAAAAGTGGAAAGATGTAATGCTCAAAGAAGTCAATAACAAGAACATACTAACAATTGCGGAGTAATGCGAATCGGAGACACTGCTTACAACTAATAGATAACACAATACATAATGTAAAAAATAATACAAAATCATATAATCCATGTTACACAACCTACCTTAGACAAGCATAAGTACGATACACACTATATAAACATATAACAAACAAGCCAAACAGTCAGAATTTAATATTCTGAGGGCAAATACGCCAAATTATATCCAAGAAATAGTTTCTTTAACTTACCGCGTAGCTATTAACAAAAATGCTTCAGGTATAAGTTCGCATTGATTTTCATTCAACTTGGTTAAACCTGTTGGACATGCACAAGTATAACTAACTGGGTTCCTCAAGCACAAATGAGAACATCCACCATTATTATTTCCACATGCATTTTCTGCGATATTATCACTTTGGACAGACCGAACATCCATTAACCCTCCTAACTTGTCTCTGATGATGGTTTTATCGTTGCCAGTGATCTTTTCAGCTCGGTGTAGCGATTTGGTTTGCCAATCTGTCCAGTAGATGTGGTTGCCAACAACTACTAGACCGTACGGGTATGAAACCTTAATAAAAATAAAAAAAAATAAAATTAGAAAATTATTTATACCTAGTTAAATAAAAAGTAATGCTTAAATAATGATCGTTGCATATAAAAATAAAGGCGACAACATATTGTCATTAGGATACGAATTAAATATAAAATAAGCAATATTGTGCATTTTTTTCTTCCACTCTAAACTATCAACGTGTTCGCTGAGAAGCAGTTCGTTTAATTATTATTTATTAAAAGCACTCTGCAGAAAGTCTGCAGTCAATGTATAGTGAACCAAAAAAAATTAGTGTATATTTTTATCCTTTTATGTATTCTGCTGCTTCTTCCAAATGTGCCTATCTTCTGAAGATGTTGGCGACCACATTGACTCATCTTATTATATTCACAGCAGCTCGAAATAGATCAGGTGACCTTAGATCAGTCCATTTCCTAAGATTGGCCAGCCAGGATATACGTCTACGTCCAGGGCCTCTCTTACACTCAATCTGTAGAATCAACTGTAGAATTTGGTATTTATCATTACGCATGATGTGGCCGAAATAAGCCAATTTTTTGTTTTTCTTATATTAATAATTTCTTTGTCTTTTCCTAGCCTCTGAACTGAAGAATAGTTGTGTTACTTGTGTGGTGTATATATGAGACTCTTAACATGTCGGTAGCACCACATTTCAAATGCCTCCAATCGTTTTATGGCATCTTCTGTAAGGCTCCTGTTTTCTACTTCATATAGGAGGACACTAAACACGTAACATCTTAGAATTCTTAAGCACATATTTGCAGATAATCTTCCTAAGGCTGTTGAAACAGCTTCTGGCTTTTTCAATACGAGTTTTTATTTCGTAGCTATGATCCCAAGTATACTTAATATTGTAGCCCAAATAGAATATTTTTTTCACTTTATTTAACGGTATATCATTAATTGTAATTTGGGCGTTTATGCCGGTATTCGTACTAATGATCATTATTTATGTCTTCTTGCAATTTAGTTTTAGGCCGCATTTGTTACATGCTACAACAATATCCATTATCCTTTGGAGCTTCTGCGCACTATCTGCCAGCAACACTGTATCGTATGCATCTCTAATGTTGTTTATAAGTTGGCCATTTACAGCAATCTCATCTTCTGATTCGTCCAAGGCCTCTTTAAAGATGTTTTCAGAGTATATGTTAAATAATGCCGGTTACAATATGCAACTCTGTCTAACTTCTTTTTCGGCTGTAAAGATCTCTCACAGTTCATTTTCTAATCATACTATTGCCTTTTTTTGGAGATGTAAGTTTGAGATCAGTCTTATATCCTTACCATCGAGTCCTGATGTTTTTAGGATATCGATTAGTTTCTCATCTGGGACTTTATTAAATGACTTCTCGAAATCAGTCTTACCCTGTGACGCTAGCGAGTATAAAAGCAGCGTCACATGGTAAGACCGGTTGTCACTCGACACTGAGGAGTAGGCAGATTGAGACCTCAGTGCCGAGAGACAGTTCTTGTATTTATAATACAGAACCTAGTGATCTGGCCCTATCCACTGGTTTTTTTTGGTTTTTTTTGGTTTTTTTCCCATTTCTCCCTCCTTTAGTATCGTTGTAACATTTCGATTCTCTGTTATTCGTATAATATGACCAAGCCATCTAGCTCTTGTGGCTCGTATTTTTGCCTTAGTTGTTGGTTTTCCATACATCCTCATGATTTCTTTAATTGTACGTCTTCTCCAAATAGTCTCTGCCGTCTTTGTTCCTCCAAAGATTTTTCTGAGCACCTTTATTTCCCAGATTTCTACTGTCTTCTCTTCCTGCTGGTTTATAATTCACGTTTCGCTTTCATGCATCACTCTGGGTCTGACTACTGTCGCGTAGACTCGCAATTCAGCTGTTCTTGACACTTTTTTTGCTTTCAGTAATGAATTTAGTAACCCTATCGCTCTACTTCTCTTCATTAATCTTTTGTCTATCTCTTTTTTTTCTTTTCCCGTGTTCGTTATGGTTACTCCTAGGTATTCAAATCCTGACACTGTTTCAAAACTATAGAGAGTCTTTGCTTCTTTTATTTTAATATATTTGTGATTATTTGTTATGTCTCCTCTTATTTCCATATATTGTGTTTTAGTTTGGTTTATTATTAATTTGTATCATTTCGCTTCTTTTCAAATTTCTGGAAAACTTTTTCTATCTATTCTTTCTATTTTAGTATAAAAAAGTATCAACGGACATATAGGATTCATTAGCCTAGCAGTCAAACTTAATGCTATGAAAGAGCTGTCTTTTTCTTTCCGCCTGACCGTATTTCTACTTCCTGATGTGCTGTAGAAGACCAAAGAAGAAGGAAATAATGTGAACTTAGATCAGAGATTAATTAAAGGTTATCTGTTGCAATCGCTTACTCATTAAAAAAAACTCAGATATCGTTTAGCAGCATTTGACAGCGTAGAGGATTTCGGAAAATATCTTTGCAGCATGGCAACTAATTTTCACTTTTGTGCATCTTATAAAGAGATATAAATAATAATTATTATAATAATGACTTTCATTAATTAAATATAGGCAAACGATGCAATTTTTTGACAATTTAATTAAAGCCTTATTGGGTGAAGTGTCCTTAGGCCAAATATCTGTAAACAATATTGTCTTTAGGCAAGAAATCTTTTAGTTCTCATCACGGTAGGTGAAATGATTTTAGGTCAAGTTTCCATTAAGTAAACTGTCCATTGGGTCTAATGGCTTTAAGTCAAATGACCACTTTAACTGTTAGTTTCATAAATTTATAAAATTTATTTTAAATAATACATTTTGTATAATCTTATACTGCATTGTTCCTAAAGTTTAGCAGTTTAGATAATTAATTAATGCTTTTGTATACTTTTTTACACCTTTATTTACTAAATATAATTATAATTTCGGAGGTTAGCTAAATTTAGATAATCTTATACTTAAGATTTATTATTTTTGTAATATTGGTTGACAAAAAAGAGCATCAATGTGTATTTATACATACATACCTCAGTTAGAATCTTTTTTCTATCTTTTCCCTCAAGACTACTTGACTCTATAGTATGAAGTTTTCCATCGTTCCAGTACAGTCTGTTTTCTGGTCTATCTATTGCTAGTCCATTAGGCCAATTTAGATTGTCTGATATTAGTGTTTTTCTAAAAATAGATCATAAGGTATTACATAAGGTACTTTTCAAAATTTCAATCATGCAGTAAAAATGGAAATAAAGTGTCAGACACTTTTCCTATCACTAAAGGATTATGCCGGAAGTATTTTCTACCACCAGTTGTATTTAAAACATAAACACCTACATCCAAAAACGAGAAACTAAAAAGGAAAGTGTAATATTAGCAAAGTTCAGATGGGAAATAAATGCTTGGAATATCTCTCTTTCGCAAATTACCAAGTAATCATAAGAAACAACAGAGATGATACTCTTTTACTTCTCGTTTTTTCATTACTGAGGATCGTAATTTCCTCCAACATTTCTAACAAATTTTCTGCATTGGTCTCTAAAAGAGTTTCGCTAAATGAGTGGCCAGCTAAATTCTGAGTTTCGTCAGACCAACTAGTTAGTGACCGTCCTCTCGTTCTTCTCTCCGGAAACAATTAATCACCCTAAATTATCATCATCTCTGCAAGCAATGTGACCAAAGAACTGTAGAAATAGCTGCAAACATGTTGTAAACAGCTTTGTTAATGTCAAGTTAGTTAATCATGGAAACATTGCTCTGATGAGCTATTCAAGGTATGTTCAGAATTCTTGTCTAACACCACATCTCAAAGGGATCAATTTTTTGGCGTTCTTTTGCGCAAAAAGTCCAAATTTCTGCCCTGTATTTAAATATTGAGAATATAGGTGCATTCACTAGTCTCATCTTGATTTTTTGGGAGATAGATCTTCTTTTTAAACTTTAGTTAGGCAACTCTTCACATTTTTTGCCATAATAAAGCGTCTCAGATCTTCTGCTTTACAGTTGCAATTTTTGCCTTTTCCGATAAGTATCATTATCATTAGTTTCTTAATTTTCAACAAAAATAATAATTGGTTCTCTTGTTTCCTCTATTACCATATTAGGACTTCAGAATGTTTCTTCAACTGTTATGACACGTCTTATAGCTTTTTGTCAATTGTCAGTTAAAATTTTTGATATGGAGTCAGATAATAGTTGATGAACATCTTGAAGTTTCAAGTTTGTATTATTTCTCGCGATATATTTCTATAGAGTCCATTGTAGATACATTTGAGCCCAGATTAGTTATATAGAGTTGAGTTCACAGTGATAAGTTGGTCATCGTAATATATTACCTCGATGGTTTTTACTATTTAATCTGCACTATACTTCTTAAATTTTGGTGAATATTGTTTGCAGAGCTGCAATAATTCTTTTTTAAATAAACCTCTGCTGATATCAGCCAATCCAAGAGTTCTTGCTTTTCTATTTAGTGTTAGATAACGGTCCCCTTAACCTTAAATGATAACTGGCATTGTCCATGACTATTACAGAAATCGGTAATAAATTTATCATTTGACCGAAATATTCTTCAAAAACTTAAGCAGTCATTTCTTCATGGTAGTGATTCGTACAACATTTATAATGATACCGAAAAAAGTAAACGCCTAACAGTGTAGCGATCATCGCACTATCAGTCTGATGAGTCATATACTGAAAATTTTCCTAAGAATACTGCTCTCGAGAATTTACAACAAAATAGAAGTACAACTAAGTGAAACAATTTGGTTTCAGAAACAACCTTGGAACCAGAGAAGCATTCTTCAGTTTGCAGGTCATGGTTCAAAGATGTATGGATATAGAACAATAAGTATATATGTGTTTTATCGACTTCAAAAAGGCCTTTGACAAACTTATAGGTGTCTTGCAACAGGTGGGAATAATTGATGACCGAAACCTCCGTATTATCAAATATTTGTATTGGCATCAATGTGCAAATATACGAGCTGGACAAAATACGACGGAACCAGTGGAAATACGACGTGGAGTGAGGCAAGGATGTATTCTATCACCTCTACTTTTTAATATCTACTCCGAATTTATTTTCAAAGAAGCCTTAGTTGAAGATACAGGCATTAAAATCAACGGAATTAATGTCAACAATCTTATATATGCAGACGGTACTTATTGCCTCCAATGAAGAAGACCTGCAACGACTTATAAACAGGGTAACCGAAGCAGGTGATGAATATGGGCTAAAACTATCTGGTACCAGATTAAAAGATGGAAGGTGGACCAAGAAAATGCTGAAATGGAGACCTAGACACGATGCTTATCGTAATCGAGGACGTCCTTAAACAAGGTGGTCAGATGACATCAAGCGCATTCAGTACAACTGGATTCAGGGTGCTGAAGAATGCATTGGAATTATTTACGGGAGGCCTATATCCAGCAGTGGACTCAAAACGGCTGATGATGATGATGATCATTATATTGGGTTGTATCTCAGGTGCAATAAAATTTGTGCTATCAATCATTTTCAAATGTACTCTAACAAAAGTCTTAAAAAGTGTGATACGATTACACGGTATGTGCACACAATAATTAAATATCTTTTTGAAGCTGTTATTTAAAACCTTACCTGTTGCTACCATCCATACCAGCGACCTCTATTTTTCCCTTCTCGCCCAATCGGACCAGAACATTAAACCGTGATGGTAATGTAACGTGATGGCTCTTGGGTTATCCAAATTTTTATTGAAGAGCACTTTTCGGTTTTTTCCATCTAATTCAGCTACCTCTAAACTATTTCGTTCGCCGTCGGTCCAATAGATCTACAATAATTATAGTAATCAATAATAATTTCAATACACGTATAGGAAAAATGAGCAAACTAAGAATAAATTGTTAGTGTCACTGTTATAATCCAGTTTGTGCATGGTTTATAATAAAATATACAGACAACATAAATTGATGGTTTATATCCAATGTTGTTATAATCCTCTTGGCTTAAACATATTTCTTAAGATCATCACACGTTTTATCGTATGTAAAATTTTACATTGAATACGAATATGTAGGACCTTCGAATTATGTAGGTATTCAGCAAAAAATGTTACATAAGATTTAATAGTTTTTCACTATCCAGCCTTTCACGCACACAGAAATATACCCAGCTGCCGGACTGTTTATTTTTATACTACTATTTACACATTTATTGTTTTTAAGAGCTCACATACCTTTCTTCCAGTTGAATCTATGGCAATACCATCCGGCGCTTCCATTTCATGCATAATGATCACCTCGCTCTTCTTCCCATCAGGCGTGGACTTTTGAATGATGTCTTCCGCTGTATCAGACCAGTATATCTCACCAGTTCTACGATCCACATCAACCGATACTGCCAACTTGAGTCTTGGAAATGGCATCACTACATCGGCCATGTATGGTACGTCAAGGGAAATTTGACGGATGTCCATTCGGTGGGCAAATATAAGATAATTGATAGGGCCATTTTCACAAGTAAGTCCGTCAGTCTGAAATTAATAAATTTAATAAATTAAAAATATAATTTTTCTTTTTTACGAGACCTTCCACTTACGATAGCCCTTTGTATATAGTTTCCATCTTTTTTTATTACTTTATTTTTAATTTATCAAGCAAAGTTTTAAAACTTCTAAACTATGTACCTCAGGTATGTTCTATTTAAAGATTTTTTGCTCATTTTGAGATAGCATTATGAATTTTTGATGCCAATCTCTTAATAAAGTGTTTTAACTCTCAAACCAGCTTTAATTTAAAAACAATATACTTCAGTGCCTTTAAAGTAGCTTAGTAGCTTAGAACTATTTACCTCAAAACCACGTAAGACGTGTAGAGTAATGGTGGAGCTTAAATTAAAAAAAAATGCAATCGTCTATTTTCATCTCAAGGTCTTTTATCTACGTTGAAGGAGTGAAAAATATGTTTTCTTTTTTTTTAGGTAAATAGTAGATGTATTGTCAGAATAAAAAGTTATTTTTATTATATTATCCCTCCAGATACTGACAGAGAATGTAGCGTAGAATCTTTAAGTAATTTTAAACTGTTTGTCCTCGTTTTAGTGTAATGTTTTGTACAATTTTATGTTATTTTTAATGTTTCCACATTCTACGCTTGCCGGATAGTTCACATTTTGACGAAATGCCCCTGAAGATGCTATTTTAAGCGAAAGTACTTGGGCTAGATTTAATTAACTTGTGCTCGATAATAGCCTTATTTTCAAAGTTCATTTATTTGAGCATTCAACCTCATTTCATTCAACAACACTGCACTTGAGACAGTAGACGAGTATGTATATCTGCGACAATTAATACATAAATCTGGCTCCTAACTTCCAGAAATCAACAAAAGATGCGAAGATGTACAAATTAATATAGGCAAATATATTATTATTGATAATAATTAGGAGTATAAATTACTTACCCCTAATTTAATTCCTGTAGGACAAGCACAAGACCTGCCTTTTGGTTTTAGAAGGCATAAATGGGAACATCCACCATTGTTGTTCGTACAAGCGTGTTTAAACTGCTTCCTGTTCCGGTGAAAAACCCTCACATCCATCAAGTCATTCATATTGTTCGATAGAACTGTCCTGTTTTGACCAGTAAACTTGTTTGCTCTTTCAATACTTTGAGTTTCCCAATCGGTCCAGTAAATATGGTCTCCGAAGACATCTAAGCCGAAAGGATGCGGTACATCATTGCCACCTTGAATATTTGTAAAATAAGCAGTAAATAATATTGTTTAAAATAAAAAGAACTTTTTTTTCTTTATTATATTTTTGATTCAAAAATATTTTATACATGGGACACCACGTATCAAATGCTTTGCTTTGCTTTACGGAGAGGCACCATAAAGCAAAGCAAAGTAAAATATGGATTTATAAAACGTTTAAGCAACTTTCTTTCTATAGTGGGTACAAAAATGTAATCCTCATATTTTTTCTGTTTAAATACATGGTTATTTTTTATACGCACCCAAGAGAACTTTCCTCTTTGTTCCGTCAAGATTGGCATACTCTATACTATGGCTTCCGCCACCAGTCCAATATATTTTATTGGTTTGGTGATCAACAGCTAGTCCATTCGGCCAGGTCAAGTTGTCATTGGCTATAGTAAACCTATTGGTTCCATCCATGCTGGCTCTTTCAATTTTGGCTTTCTCTCCCCATTCAGACCAATACATATACCCTCCTATAAATAACATATTTTATTATTACAATTGAAAATACTGCTTGATACAAGTGTCAATAGTGTTAAATATATTAGCTGTCTATAAGACACTGGATAAACAAGATGAAATTAAAGAGATAATGGATGAGATATTAAAAGGATATAAAAATAATACTCAATAGGTCGAAGAAATTAAATGATGTCAGACAAAGAAAATAAAATAAAACAAATCAGAAAAGATAATACCGATTTCAAACAAAAGATGAAAGTAATATTAAAAGAAAATGAATGCTACAGTCGTAGCATAAAGACAGTTAAATTGATTAAATTACTTAAAAAGGATAAAAAATAAAGAAAATAAAAAAATATGACAAAAAAACAAAAATGGAAAAATAACAAAAACAAGAAAACACATTTTATTATAGATATAAGAGGAAAAATATGGACAGATGTAAGGTTCTTAGATTTAAGAAAGTCTAAGGAAAATATGTACTTCAATTAATTTAATATAGTTTTATGGTATTAGACTATACCCTAAGAAATAATGGGCTTGACGAAATATGAACCTTGGAACTTAAAAATTGTAACACCGTAAAACACAAATGCAGGTTTACCTTGTGGATCCACAACAATGTCTCTGGGTTTATCAAGGTCCTCCCATATTAACAAAGATCTCATACTACCATTAGCATATGCTACCTCAATTCGTTCAGTTCCAGCATCTGTCCAGTAAATCTTGTCTGTCGCCCAATCGTAAGAAATTCCAGCTGGCGAGACTAAAACGCAAAGGGATGTTAAATAAACTTAGTATCATATAAATATTTCTTTTTAAAAACTAGCAGAGACCAGACACTTACGTATATTTTGGTGTATAACTACTTCTTGAAAAGTTCCATTCCAGAAAGCTCGATTGATAGAATTTCTTTCTACGTCTGTCCAGTAAATGAAATCACTTTTAGAATCCCAAGCGATTGCCACGGCAGATTTTATACCATCTATAGTGATAACCTAAATAAAAATAGAACGAATAGTATCAATTTTAATGTAGTAATATTAAAAAATATTAATACTAAAAATATTAATTTAAAACGTAAAGAAGTACATGGAAAAAATGCATAGAAAAATAGAAAAATTGAAAAGAGCTGTGACAAAATTATTGAAATAGTACATGAAAATTTCAACGAAATGAACCCCTTCAAGTAAAATTTACGTGCATATAAGGGGAATAAGCAGCAATTCAGATTACAGATCACCTAAAAGGTTATTTTTTCCGGTGAAACAAAGAATAATTAATACTCATAAAACTGTGGAATATAAGACTAAGAAACACAATTTAAGTAAAATAAAAAAAAGAAAAACATCATATAAAAATGGAACAGAGGAGGAATTTATTAGAATTTAAATCTCCATATCCATCTTTATGAACTAACAGATTATCGAAAAAAAGGGAATTCAATGTAAGAACTCGAGTGTATTTTATTGATTACAGTTAATTATTTAACTGTATCAGATGCAAAAAAAATGTAAAAATATCTCCAAATGAATGCTACAAAATACCTACTTGCATTACTAGAGAACCTGTACGTAAAAATCTCAGCAAAAGTAAGGTTAAATGGAGAAGTGTCAAAATCGTTTAGGGTTGATAAGGACGTAAGGCAAGTATACGTGTTAAGCTCCATCCTATTTAACACCTACGTAGAAGCCATTATCCGCGAAGTAATCTTAAAATAGGAAGGGGAATATCCATTGGCGGCAGAAGAATCAACAGCTCTATCAATAAAGCAAAAACAACAATTATGGTCATGAACAGAAAAAATATTAACCAAGTAGCAATTGCCAGAATCAGTGACATCAAAGTGGTGAATCAGTTTGTATATTGGTCTACGTTCATAACTAACTCTAAAAAAAGCACCTAAAGAATCAAAAGAATATCAGTAATGGCCAAAAGAGTAACGACAAAACTCATCAAAATATGGAATAGTTACAACATCACTATACATACAAAGATGAGGCTTATAAAAATCATAATCTCCATGTTAATATGGATAAATCATGATCTGGTCCCTGAAGAAAGTTAATAAACGCATTATAGACGCATTTAAAATGTTTTGCTTTCGAATAGCCTGGACTGCAAGAAAAATTAATTAGTCGATCCTTAGCAGCTGCAGGTTACAAAAAGGCTCAGAAGCATTGTTAGAGATCACCGAATTAGATTAGAAAATTACCGCTTACTTTGGTCATGTGGAATTTAGAGATGGTCTGCAGAAGTTGACATTGCAGGAAATGGTGCAAGGACAGAAATCTCGACCAACACATTAATGTGGATCACATTACAAAAGAACTTAGAACCCCACTAAACCATCGCTTCAGGGTTTCAGAAGACAAAGAAGGATGAAAAAAAGTCACAACAAATAATTAAAAATTTAAGGTGGCATGAGGTCCGAACCAGACGACCGACTAGGAAGGCGTCATCTTTATATCTAAAACAGCGATGACTACATATTGAGACTAAACTAAACGCAACAAAACGTGTGGACAAAATAAACATAGAAACAGAATTGGATGGTCCAAAGATAAATGAATCGTACCACTCAAACAATACAGCAAATTTAAATGAATTGCAAAGAGTTTACGTCAAGGAAACCAATATTGTAGAAAAAAAAAACCTTTTAATTTAAATTACAAAATTAAACAAAGTAAACAAAGTACAAAATTAAACAAGTAAAAACTTATAATAATTTCCAAATATCAGTAAAGAATTAAGACAGAGAGTATACTTTAATATCTTTAGTCCACACTTGTGTATTCACAGTTAACCTCCGGACGAAAACTTAAAACCAAGAGCAGATAAAATCTCGCCTAGACTGGTGACGTCCATTTACTATTTAATGAGAGAACATTAAGTTTAATAATTTAATTTTTTTTTGTACATTATAGGTCTAGTTCTAAGGAATTACTTTATCAGTGTTTTCTGAAAAACGCTGACGACGGCATGTAAAAATAAAGTTATATTTATTCGCATTATTTCCACACTATGTGAAACTTATTATAAACAAACACTACTTTCCATTATTGTACAAGACAGCTTTTTCTTTTGTAACATTTTGCAACATTTTTATAAGAAAATTATCTCCATATCTTTAATACGAAAGATCATATACAAATTAAAATGTAACAAGTTTTTATGAGCACTTATAGTAAACAAAAACATAAAACACTACCAACATAAACTTTATTGGCATTTAAAATAACCTAAACCTACAAAAACATAACCTAATTCATCTTTAACAAGTTTGCTCTCTTAAAAACACTTCGTAACGAGTATTTCCGTCTTTTAGACGTACTTAAGATCAAATGTCGTATTTAGACTTAATTAATTGCATCCCAAACTTTTTTCATAAGTTCAATAACTTTTATTTGGTCAGAAGGGACAGGTATTGGTTGTCGACTGAGTTGTCGATCTATAGTATACCACAAATTCTCTATAATTTAGATCAGAAATGCAGAGTTGCCAGTTCATGGTTGGTATAATAACCTCGTGCAAATTACTAATCACACATGCAACATGTAGTCGTGCATTATCATGTATTAAAAAAAATGTTTTCCATATAAGAACCAAAATGAAGTACGTCGTTAGACAAAATATCTGTAATATATGTTTCACTTGTTAAGGAACCTCTTCGTAAAGCAATAAGTTCCGTTGGTGCTGTAAGAGATATTCTTCCTCAACCATACAGATCCATAAAATCAGAGGTCGTATGCTGCACTGTGCATAGCATTCTCTTGTCTACCATATAACTTTTACTCGTCTATCTGAACTATATAAGCAATACTTTGATTCATCTGAGAAAAATATGTGCTTCTAATTATCGCATTCAAAGGTGCTCTCTCATCTTTAAGATGTAAGGATGTAAGCACTGCAGGCACTTTCTACGAATATATAGATTTAAAGCTGGTGTTCAGGCTGGTATCCTTAAATGCAAGCCTTGCTTAGAGACACGCCTTTATATAGTGTTCTTATAAGCTTGAATACTATAAACATCTGCCACTTGTATCTTTAAAATGGTGCCTCATTATGACAAATTGTTCTCTTATTCCACGAAGCCTGATAAACTGATCTTAGCGTACTCTTGTGACTCGTACTCTTTCTTATCCAGGCCGTCTCGTATGATCGTCTGTTTCTCGAAAACGTTGAAAGACTCATAATATTGTTGTATAAGATACTTATAGTCTTACGACCATTTTACTACAACTTAATCCTTTATCAGCTAAAGTAATTACCAGCACATATTTATCGTGGCTCAGACTTCTTGAAATACGGTCAATATCAAAGCAGGAAAACAATTTAATGAATTGTAATATTGACAATATTATTGGTCTAAAAAGGTTATGTCAATTTTTTTTATTCTTCATAACCAACTACTTCTTCTTTGACAATAAAGATATCGAAATAATGTAATTATGAATATGTTAAAAAAAGATGACAAGAAAAATGATCAGATGTAGAATTTGTTTCTGATTAATTCCACAGGGTGTTACAAAATAAGATATAAATAAGAGAAAATGCAGTATCGAGTCGAGAGCCGTAAAAGTCGGTCGCTTTTGAAGTGCTTTCGTTGTGAATTTGTGAAGTGACGCTATTGTGCTATTTTGTGAATTTGTTTAGTGCAAATTAGGTCCATAACTTGGTATTCCAAAATATCTAATTATGGAAGAAGATGCTATTACAGGGCATAGACCGCCCGATGAATTACATTCTGATAACACTTCTGAAAAAACTAATATGGATGATAACAGGTCTGTAAATACTTTAATTGATTTTGAAAACCGGTATAAACCCAGCGATAAGGCTCCATTCTTTGTTTATATTGAACACAAAAATAAAAATCTCGGTAGGTTATTTCCAATGAAGGTAGGACATTTTCTATTAAATGATTCCTTTATTAAAAATGATGTACTTGATATAAAAACAGTTGGTATTAATAGGGTAAAAGTCATTTTTAAAACTTATTCTATAGCAAATAAAATAATTAATCATGATTTAATAATTAAAAATGACCTTATAGCTTATATTCCAAAATTTTACACACATAGAAAGGGCATAGTCCGTATGGTTGATACTTTCTTTTCGGAGAATTATTTAAAGGATGCGATAATATCTGAGAGACAAGTAGTAAATGTTCAAAGGATGCAACGGAAAATAACTAACAGCGATGGCACAACTCAATTAGTACCAAGACAATTGATAATTGTAGAATTCTTGGGCAACGAGGTTCCACAAAACATAATAATTAATTTATGCAATTTTTCAGTAGATCCATACATACATCCGGTAGTGCAATGCTTTAAATGTCTCAGATACGGTCACTCATCAAAACAATGTAAATCTAAAGACAGTAGATGTAAAAAATGTACAGACACTACCCATACTGTAGAAACTTGTAAGGAAAATAATCAGTGCATATATTGTAAAACCAACGATCACACCTCGTTGTCTAGAAAATGTCCAATATACGAGAAACAGAAGAAAATCAAAGCAATAATGGCATCAGAAAATATAACATTCAGAGAAGCAGAACAATTACATAACAATCCAAGCTATGCAAAAATAATAACTAATAATAGATTTTCTATTCTAAATAACATTTCCAATTTTCCCAGCTTACCTACCTCGTCTAACAATGTCTCTAATTTCACATTAAATAAACCTGTAAGGAAAAATTATCACACATCTACAACTAATAAGCGTAAAGCAACTTCTCCACCAATTTTACCCCATACCTCTGCCCCAACTTCTAGCAAAAGACCTACTCCTAAATCTAATCCTATAATACCCAATCCCTATAGGGACGAATTTATTGATTACAAAGAGAAACTTATATTACTTGTCACATCTCATATTAATCAACTTATGTATACCAATAATCAATCTAAACCTATATGTAATTTAGAAAATGAATTAAGAAAACTAATTTCTAATAATTTAGAAGAAACAGGTAATAACACAGAAACGGATAATTTAGCGACGAGCGACAATGAAAGCATTCACTCGTATTATTAATTTCCAAATGCACAGTCAACCTACTCAATCTTCCTTAAATATTTTACAATGGAATTGTAGATCGTTAGTAAGTAATAGAGATAATCTTATAAATTATATTAATAATTCTCATGTGGATATTATTATTTTATCCGAAACTTGGTTGAAAAACCAAATGGATTTCAAATTAAAAGGTTATAATTTTGTTTCAAAATGCCGTGATAGTGGCTATGGTGGTGTAGGCATTTTCATACTAAAGGGCATTGATTATCAAATAATTAATATTAACTATAATTTTAATACCGGAATAGAAGTGTGCGCAGTCTTAATTAACAAAATTAATATCTCCTTTGTGTCTATATATAAACCATCTGACATCAGAGTAGAAAAGGCTGATTGGATACATTTATTTGAACAATTCGATTATAATAAAACAGTTTTTTGTGGTGATTTTAATGCCCACCATTACATGTGGGGTCCAATCCCGGATGACCGTAATGGTAGAATATTAGTCGAAAGCATGGATTTTTTCGAATTAGTTTCTCTAAATGACGGAACACCTACTAGAATCGCAGCGAGTGGTAATCATTCTGCCGTTGATTTGACTATCACTTCAGCCTCATTAACAAATCGTATAAACTGGTCAGTATATACCGATACATTGGGATCCGATCATTTTCCTATTAAAATAGAGCTTAAAATTAATCCTTCTTCATTCCTGATTAATCCATCAACAAAATGGAACGATTGCCGCGCTAATTGGACGCTATTTCAGACAGATTTAGAAAAACAATTATCCACATTTTTATCATCTAATAATCTTTCTAACGATGAGAAGACAGCCCTTCTCTTTCAAACTATCTCTCTAGCTGCTTCCAAATCTATGCCCATAAAAAAACCTTTTACTCCTTCAATGCCAAGGCCTTATTGGTGGGATGAGGAATGTACACTGATTATAAAAAAACGATCAGAAGCCTTGAAAGCGTTTCGAACCCAAAGTAATCATAATAATTACATAAATTATAAAAATATAGCAGCGCAAACCAGACGATTATTTAAAACAAAGAAAAAAAGTAGTTGGAAAAATTTTTTAAATAGTCTAAATAAAAGCACTCCTCTCTCAAAAATATGGTCAACCGTCAGATCAATTTCCAATAATTATCAGTACAACAAAAAACCTCAACTTTCTGAAAATCTCATTAAACAGATGTTAGACCAACTTGCACCTTCATCTGCCTCTGGTAATGTTGGTGGGATTAAAGAAGTTTTTCGCTTTAACACTAGTATAGATTCCATGTCAAAACCTTTTACTCCTTCAGAACTAGATTTCGCACTAAAAAAAAGCAGAAATACAGCCCCCGGCTTGGACGGTTTTACTTATAAGATATTGGACAAATTGCCGTCAAATGCCAAAGATGTTCTCTTACAAATATTTAATAGTTGGTGGTTGAAACAAGAATATAGCGATACTTTAAAAAATATTATCATATGCCCTTTACTCAAATTTAACTTAAACCCAGAACTTCCTTCATCTTATAGACCCATTTCTTTATTATCATGTGTGACAAAATCCTTTGAAAGGCTTATAAAACTTAGATTAGAACATCTTATTGAAAGCCGTTCAGTTTTTCCCTACTCACAGTATGGATTTCGTAGAGGTCGAGGTACCATTGATGCTCTCGTACATTTAGTTACGGATATTCAACTCTGTTTCTCAAAAAACGAATTCATGCTATGTTTGTTTCTAGATTTAAAGGGTGCATATGACGTGGTTGATTTGGATATATTATATTCAAAAATGGTGGCATGCGGTATTGATAAAAGATTATCTGTAAATATAATAAATTTGTATGCGAATAGAAAAATATACTTACGGGACCATAGAAATGTATTACACGGTCCAAGAATATTATATAACGGTCTCCCACAAGGCTCAATTCTAAGTCCTTTATTGTTTAATGTTTATACTGCAGATCTGCATGGTTTGATGGATGGAAAATGCAAAATAATTCAATATGCAGATGATATATGTTTATATACCAGCCATAAATCCTATGAAGATTGTATGTTGAATCTAAAACTTAGCTTTAGTAATATAGATAAGTGGGTGAAACAAATGGGTTTTAGTATATCACAAGAAAAATCTTCGATTGTATGTTTCACTAGACGTAGACAAAAAGTCACAGGCAAATGCCAGATAGGTGATTATAATTTCCCCTTAGCAGAAGAGTATAAGTATCTAGGCATGATCCTAGATAAAAAGCTCTTATGGTCTAGTCATGTAAAGTACGTAAAACAAAAGTGCGAGCGTGGAATTAACCTTCTGCGTTTCGTTTCTAAAAAAAGATGGGGTGCAGATCAAAATATCTCTTTAATGTTTTATAGATCCTACATACGATCCATTCTGGATTACGGTTGTATTCTTTACGGTTCAACATGCAAAACAAATCTATTAACTCTTGACAGAATACAATTTAAATCAATAAAAATTTGTCTAGGAGCTATGATGTCTTCACCAAACCAAGCAGTTCTAGCAGAAGCCCAGGAACCACCTTTATTCATACGTAGGCAAATGTTAGCCAACAAACGTCTAATAACGTACAGATCGTTTAATACAACTATGGTTCACAAAATAGGTTTACTTTTGACAGAAAATTTAACAAATCCTTATTGGAGAATAAAAAATTCTCCTCCTCTTGCAGAATCTTTTATCGATACGAATTCATTTCAATCTTATATATTACAGCTACCAAAATTTCCTTTTTACGTACAAGACTTTGAAGTTCTGATAGACAAACCAACCATTATAATGCCCTCTTATTCAGACTTGCCAATTTTAACTAATCTGATATTCAAATCCATACTAAGCAAGTTAGGGGAAGATTTAACAATAATTTATACAGATGGATCAAAAACTGTTGAAAGTACTGGTTTCGCTTTTTTTGTTTCAAACAGCAACTATGTTGAGAAATATCGAATTCCTGAATGTTGTTCTATTTTTACAGCCGAGGCTGCTGCTATACAGAAAGCACTATCTTGGTGTGTCACTAATTATTGTGAGAACATCGTAATAGTATCAGATTCTCAGGCAGTATTACAAGCTATTCGTAGCCATCCATTAGATAGTTTTCAAAACTCCATTATACTTGATATCAAAAAATTATTATATGATCTAAAATTCACAAACAAATCAGTTACTTTTCTCTGGGTTAAAGGACACAATGGAGTAATTGGAAACGAATTGGTGGACAGTATGGCAAAAAATACATCTGAGATATCCGAAATTACAAAATTTTACTACTTTAAAGATCTTTTTTCTATTATCAGGAGTATTGGCAGGGAAAGATGGATGTCAAAATATAAAGAGGTTCAGAAGACTTCTAGAAACCATTACTTTTCTATTCACCCATGCTTACCAAAAAATATTCCCCATTTCAATCTTAACTTTAATAAAGTACATTCTTCGTTAATAACGCGGCTAAAACTGAACCATGGCCTCTTTCAAGAGCATCTGCATAGGATTGGAATCTATGAAACTCCTTTCTGTCCTTGTAATAATAAATCTATCGGAGATTTGAATCACTTATTTTTTGATTGTTCTAATCATAGGGAACAGACTCGAAGACTATATTTAGGTTTGATTGATCTCAATATTAGCCTTCCAGTTAACATCAGCAATCTGTTATCTTATTCTGACAAATCTATATATAATATTCTAATCAAGTTTATAAACGATTCTAAAATAAAAATTTAAACATTCTTATAACAATTTTCTGTGGCAAAAAGATTCTTTGTCTAATGCCATCTCTCTCTCACACACACACACACAAGAGAAAATGAGCCATATATATGGGTAAAACCTTTTCTCAGAAAACATTAGTACAGTAATTCCCTAGAAATAGTTCTATAATGTAAATTAAAACCATTAAAATCCAATAAATGGTTCAAAGGAAAAATAGTTTCAATGGTACATTCAAGATGGTGCGTCCATTTTGGAGAGTAGTATATTATGTTTACAGCAAGTTCAAGAAGGTATAGTGTAAACTTCTTTCAAAATACTCCTCGGAACTTCAGAATAGTAGCAGAGTTTGTATACCTAGTATCCGTAGTAACTGAAAATAATTATATAAGTACAGAAATAAAGACAATAGGAAACTAAATGAAAATACAATAAGTAAACGAAACAGGGTATTTAACAAGAACTACTTACTTCTTTATCAATATCCTTAGTCATTATATTAAGTTACAACAGTACAAAAAAAGACCAAAAAAAAATATAGAATAGGAATGAATTCTTCTGAAGAAAAGCTGGTATTCACATAAAATGTTAAAATCAAAAAAATTATCACTACAACCTTGATAGAACAAGGTCAATAAGAAAATAAGAAAAATATAGCATTTGAATTTCTATCAGTTTATAACCAAACTTACCATCTCATACTGATGTTGATAACTTCCATCCAAATATTTGATTCTTAAGTCCTTCTTTCTGGCAAATAACAAAAATTTGTCAGGTTTCTGGCAACTCTTTCTATCTGCCTTTAGTTTTTGACCCATCCGACATGCGCAAGTGTAAGATGTTTTGTTTGGTAAGCACATATGGGCACATCCGCCGTTATTGGTTCCACAATGGTTTTTGTACTTCGGTTGTCGTTGTGGGTGGTAACTATGTATGTCCATAGGAAAATGTAGTTGAGAATGCAAAGGACGAAGACCAGCACCTGGAAACGTAAAAAATGCACTTATTGTCTACCTATCTATTTAAATGTACCTATTTTTGATGATATATACACATGAATACATACTCCTGCTCCTCATTTCAATTTAGATAGGTTTTTTTTTCTTTTTTAACGATGACATTTTATTATATCCCAATTTTATAATTGCCCATAAGAAATGTTCGGTACTAGATTTGATCACACTAGTAAATACCAAAAAAATCTTTGGATATAAAAAAACTTTCTTAATACTACTACTTAATTCTGAAGTTTTGATACTAGAGGGTGAAAATGACAATAAAAATTTAATATTTAGCGTTATAATTCCTAGTTTTAAACACAAAAAAAGTTTAAGAAGAAGAAACAATGTAGCTCGACAAACACGTCAACTCACCTGTTATTTTATTTGCAGTAGATATTGACTTGGTATGCCAATCCGTCCAGAATATAGCATCTTCAAAAATAGTAATGGCAAAAGGATGCGGCAAACCCTTACTAATAACCTTTCTTCTTGATATGCCATCAAAATTGGAGGTTTCTATAACGTTGTGTTTAGCATCTGCCCAATAAATCTGATTCGAAGTATAGTCGATGGTTAGTCCATTGGGCCAGAACACAGATTCGGTTATGATACTTTTCCTATTTGTTCCATCCATTTCGGAACGTTCGATTTTTGGATTTGGGCCCCAGTCAGTCCAGAAGATGATACCTTCTCCTGGGTGTACGGCTATAGCTCTAGGTTTATCAATTTCACTAGCTGCTATAATAGCTCTCTGTTGTCCATCAAGCGTTGCGACTTCTATACGTCGCGTTCCAGAATCAGTCCAGAAAATCAAGTCATGTATCCAGTCTAAGGCTACACCTCCAGGAGATTCCAGACCAGATTTGATAATATCTAAAAAAATACGTAGTTAGAGCATTTAAAAGTTGTTAACAAAATTTGCCATCTTGTATTTATATGTTTTTGCACAATTATCATCTAACTTTTAGTAACTTACCCATAGACCCTGTACCATTAACGTAAGCTCTTCTTATAACATCCATAGAAACATCTGACCAAAATATTAGACCTTTCTCGTAGTGGTAGTCCAAGGCAATTGCATTGTGAAGACCTCGTAAAAGAGCTGTATATTTGGTGTTACTAAGAGATACCTAAAAATTATGTTTATCAAAAATATTGCTTGCCATTTACATTTAATCAAATCTAGTATCTAAGTATCATCAAAAAATCTTTTTTGGGTTTCCAAAATTAACATTCTCAGCAAAATTTGGCTTGTTTATGTAATTTTTAATGTTTCAGTGGTATTTAGATATTTGATGACTGGGGTATAAATAAATATACTCTATAGCTATATATTTATAAATATTATACTTTATACAAAATTAGGATTCTATAAAAAGTAATATTTTTCTAACTTAATTTCCACATAATTTTAAAAATATTACTCTTATTATTACAGACAGATCAAAAACGTTGTGTAGTACTGAATTATTTCGGTTTGATGACACTGCTGCTGCATAAATTAGGCTTAGACATTGTCTTCTGAAAAAAAGAGGAAGTTCTCCACTTTCCCAATAGAGACTTTGAATGGGGCTTGTGTAGTGAGCACCTAAAGAAGTACGTAGACAACGTGAATCGTTGTGTTAATATCAAATTTATTGCTACTAAGAATAAAGTTGTGCTTAAGATTGATCCTTGTGCTTTACCATTTTGTTGAATTTTTGTTTGAGAATATGTTCCGTCAACTTGATCTTAAAATTTTCTGTTTTCAAAAAAATTGAAATGTATTTTAAATGCTACCTCTTATTAACCAGTTGCTGAGTGTTTGAATTGATTGAATATTTTTAAACTGTATCATATGCTTTGCTTATATCAAAAAATATTACAATACAGTGCTGTTTTATTGCGAATGTTTCGTGGATTTTTGATTCTCAGTTAACAAGTTTGTCTAAAGTTAGCGATGTTTTTGGAAACCACATTGTTCTGGAATAATTAATTTGTTTGTTTCTAAATACCACATAAGCTTATTGTTTATTATCTTTTAATATTTTACCTATGCTACATGTGAGTGATATCGGTCGGTATGTTTGTGGATCTGATTTTGGTTTAGTTGGTTTTAGAATAGATATTATGATTGAAGTTTTCCATGATTTAGGAAACACGTTTCTGGATAGGGTTATATTGTATATTTTGAGTAGATATGTAAGTGTTCTTACAATTCTGAAATACATTTTCTAATTCTTCCTCTGTTATTGGTATATTTAGGTCATTACTGTTTTAATTGTAATATTCAAAAGGATTTTTTCTTCTTTTATTTTGATATCTAAGAGATTGGAAGTATAATTTAAGTTACTTGAGTTATATTTATAAGTAGAGGCTAGTATGTATATTGGACATTTCTTCTGAGCTTTTATAAATAGTGTTATTTTAAGTGAGAAAGTTGATTGATTTATGAGGTTTGGATCTAGACATTTTGTTAACTTTTTTCCATATAGTTTTTCCATATTGTTTTTCCATATACTTTTCATATAACAGTTGAACTATATATTGTGGTGACATATTCTCTCCATGATTCACGTTTGGCTTTTTTAATGGTATACCTTGCGACTGCTTTAATTTTTTTAAATTCTATAAAGTTTTCTTGAGTTTTGTGTCGTTTGAATTTATTAAAAGCTTGTTTCGATTGTTTAATGCTTTTTTACACTCATGATCTCACGAAGGTACCGACTGATGTTTGTGATCGTACTTATTTATTCCAACGTACTTATTTGCTGATTCTGAGCAAACTGATTACCAGATCTATCATATAGATCTTGTAATATATTCCACGTAAGAGTATGTGTAATCTGCACTGTTCTTATGTCAAACTGCTTATGTTGTCCGTCGTTAAGGATATTCAAGTTAGCTTCTTCTATTATTTTTCCATTTCTCGACCTAGAGATTTTAGTTTTAAGACACCTCATAACGGATTATGTGCATTGAAATCTCCAATTTTTATCCGTGGAACAGGTAGTTGATTAATTAGGTTTGAAATTTCTTTTGAATCTAGTCCTTTATTGGGGGTAATGTAAATATTGCAAATTGAAAACGAAACTGTGTCTGTGACTCTAATTCCAATTGCTTCGAAAGTTGTTGTGAGTTTCGAATTTGCTCGATTTCTAAATAAACAATTGAAATTCTTTAAGTCATAAGCTTTGTTGTTTTTGAAGTTGGTTTCTTGTAAACATATCAAACTATGTTTTGAAATTAATCATTTTAACATTTCTAAATGGGTATAATACAAATTTATGTTCCATTGAATTAGAGAGTTGAAATCTAGGTGCATAGATGTCCATCTATGAACATCTTTTTAGTATTTCACTAGTTGTTACATTAATTTTAAGAGCTCGATTTTAAAACACGTATTAGCTACTATATTCTGAGTCGAATTCTCCCAGTTATTGTTTCTAAAAAGACAGTGTTCAAGGTATTCATTTACAGCTATCTTTATAATAATATTGTTCTGAAGTTTTTTTCTTGTGGCATTTTAAAGTAATTACCATTTAAATGGGAATAAGCTACAATTAAAGGTTAAAGTTAGTATATTGACGTTTCAATTTCCACTTCGGAAATCGTTCTCAAAATACAAACATTAGTAAATTCACTAATGTTTGTATTTTGAGAACGATTTGCGAATAGGAAATTGAAACGTCAATAAACTAACTTTAACTTTTAATTGTGGCTTATTCCCATTTAAATAGTAATTACTGTCTTTATATTGCCCAAAATGTTTTTCGGTCACTACTTTATCGAGATTTACAAATAGATAGATAAAAAAAAAACAGGTTAAATTAAATCTACCTCTGAACAACAAAATACATAAGTATATGTGTAGACTGTAACGAACTTTATACAGAAGTAAATTTCTTACCTCGCGAATATCAATCCTGTTGGCAAACAGTAATGTTGGTGGAGCACCCATAGCTTTACACGTTCTCAAGTCAGGTCGTAGTACATATCCAGTCATACAGCCACACTTAAAGCTTCCTATGGTATTATTACAGTTCTGAGAACAGACTGGATCTGTAGCGTAGAGGCATTCGTTAATATCCTGGCAGCTAAACAAAAACATGAAAAATATATAAGATGCTAATTTTATACAAAATTTGTATTTAAAAATTTTCAGCACTTGAAATTTCATAAAATGCATAAAAAGAAGTATTTTGCGTCTATTAATTATTTTTTTACCCCCCGTAAACATGCAAAACACAAACCAAACACGGCCCTAGTCCCCGGCAGCTCAAAAATCTCTGACCAAGGTAGCGGACAGAAAAGATTAAGAGCAGAGGGTGCTAAGAATACCCGAGATGGACCAGGCTACCACTCAAGACGGCTAAACTGCACAAGAATACTGCATCTTGCATCCTATAATATAAGAACCCTCTCAACCGATCATAAACTAATAGAACTGGAAAACAAATTAAAAACAATAAAATGGGATGTAATGGGACTTAGTGAAATTAGAAGGAGAGGAGAAAAACAACAAACATTGAAATCAGGAAACCTGTTCCACTACAGAGGAGAGGATCATTCATCCAGCGGTGGAATCGGGATCATTGTACATAAAAAACACATACCCAACATAACGAAAATCGAGACCATAAGCACGAGAGTCATCCTATTGATATTAAAACTAAACTCTCGTTATAGTTTAAAAGTTATACCGGTCTACGCCCCGACAACTGGACACACAGATGAAGAAGTTGAAAAATTCTATGAGGATGTAGCAGAGGCACAACAAAGAACACGAACACACTATACTGTTCTCATGGGCGACTTCAACGCAAAACTCGGATTCAAACAAGACCAAGCGGAGATCGCGTTAGGAAAGTACGGATACGGGGCAAGAAACGCAAGAGGGGACATGCTTTTAAACTTTCTACATCACCAATGCATGTTTCAAATGAACTCTTTCTTTAAAAAGAAACCCCAAAACAAATGGACTTGGATAAGCCCTGATGGCGCCGTCAAAAAGGAAATCGACTTTATAATTACAGATAAAAAATATATAATACAAGACGTGAAAGTACTTAACAAGTTCTCTGCTGGCAGAGACCATAGGATGATAAGAACAAAAGTAATGCTAAACGTTAAAAAAGAAAGAATGAAGCTTGTTCCTAAACCAAATGTTAGAAGATGGGTACCACCTGAAAATGCAAAACTGTTTGAACGTACGGTCGAAGAAAAATTACAAAACGAAGAAACAGAAAACATAAACATAGAACAACTAAACCAGAAAATAGTCAAAGCTCTGAAACAAGCACAAGAAAAATGTTGCCCAAGAAACCAAAAAGACGAATAAAAACTAAGTCTAAGCACGAAAACTCTATTAGAGGAAAGAAGACAACTAACAGATAAATACAGAACCAATCTAACAAAAATGAGACAACTAAACAAACAAATCACTAAGAACATCAGAAAAGATATAAGAGACTACAACACCAGAGAGATATCAAAAGTCATAGAAGAGAACAAAAGTTTAAAAGTCTTCAGAAGGAAACAGCAAATAGGAAAGAAAAATATTTACAAACTAAAAAACACAAAGGGCGAAATAATAACAGATAAACAGGAAATTCTACAAACTGTCGGACAATTTTACAGCGAACTCTACAGCAAAACAGAAGAAAATGTTCCAACTGACAACATACCAAAGGTTCTAAACCAGGGCTCGGAAGACATACCAGATGTTACTGTTGATGAAATCAAAAAAGCTCTCCTACAAATGAAAAATAATAAGTCACCTGGCGACGACGGGGTCGTTGCCGAAGCCATAAAATTAGGAGGCGAGAAACTGATACAAATGCGTTCCATACTTTTCACAGAATGCCTTGAAAGAGGAACAACACCATCACAATGGCAAAATGCAGTGATCATTCTAATGTTTAAGAAAGGAGATTTCACAAATCTCGTAAACTAGACTAATCAGCCTCATCTCACACATATACAAGCTTTTTACAAAAGTCATAACAAACAGACTTTCGAACAAAATGGACTTTTACCAATCATGCGAACAGGCAGGATTCAGGTCAGGCTTCGGCACAAACGACCATCTACAAGTTATTAAAAGCCTCATTGAAAAATGTATAGAGTACAATAAACCCCTCGTCCTAATATTTGTCGATTATGAAAAAGCATTCGACACAGTAAACAACCAGAAAATGCTAGAAGCTTTAAAAGAGTGCCGAATAGATCACCGCTACACCACTGTCATCAAAAATATCTATGAAAATGTGATAATGCAACGGCATGCGTCAGACTCCATGAAGATACACACAAGTTCAACATTCATCGTTGAGTTCGCCAGGGCGACACCATTTCACCAAAACTGTTTACAACATTATTGGAATACATGTGTAAGCGTGCAAACCTAGACGAAAAGGGCATAAACATAAATGGAGAGCAGCTTAGTCACCTCAGGTTCGCGGACGATATAGTCCTGATAACAGACCGCATAGATCATGCCATCGAAATGTGCGAAAGACTCTACCATGCCTCTACACAAGTGGGTTTAAAGATCAATAACTCAAAAACACAAGTGATGACAAACCTTGTTCTGAGTGAGAACATCAACATAGCTGGAACAAGTATAGAACAAACATCAGCATACAAATATCTGGGACACGAAATTCGCTTAAGTAGAGATCACCAGACCAATGAACTAATACGTAGAATAGGGTTGACATGGGCAGCTTATGGAAAGCTAAGAGATGTTTTCCAATCAGCTCTTCCCATCTGCTTGAAGAGAAAAGTCTTCGATCAATGTGTGCTGCCGGTTCTAACCTATGGTGCGGAAACGCTAACACTTACTAAGACATCCGCAAACAAAATTCGAACAACACAGAGGGCAATGGAACGGTCCAGGTTGGGATTAACCCTGAGAGACCGAATACCCAACACAGAATTGCGCCGTAGATCGGGAGTAACCGACGCGATCAAAAGAATATCAACCTTAAAATGGAACTGGGCAGGGCACGTCGCGAGAACGAAGGACGGCAGATGGACAAAACGTATTCTTGAGTGGAGATCCAGACAAGATGTCTTTAGGAATAGAGGACGACCACCAACAAGATGGACGGATGACCTGAAACGGACACATCAAAATTGGATGCAGGCGGCTCAGGACAGAAATTTGTGGGGTGAACTACGGGAGGCCTATGTTCAGCAGTGGACGAGTATGGGCTGAATGATGATGAATTATTTTTTTAAGTTATTCTTCAGTTAAAGTTGATTACTTATAATAAAATGAAATCTTTATAAACTTATAAATTTATTTAATTTAAATTTTGGTTTATTTTTAATAAAATGGTATGGTTATTCTTACGTGTATCCATCATTTGCTAGTTGATATCCGTTAAAACAGGAACAGCCCTTTTTTCCATCAGCTGTAGTAATACAGAGTTGTTTACAAATGGTATTTCTCTCGCACTCCCTCTTAGTCGGACAACTGTCTTCATCTTCTCCTTTCGGACAGTCATTGTGTCCATCACATCGATGCTTCTTGTTGATACACGTTTGAGTCTTATTGTCGTTGGGGTCTATTCCGCTGCAAGGGAATTTGGCTTCATCGCAAACTATTTCACATTTCGATTCGTCCTCTCCTTGAGAGCAGTCCTGTAAGCCATCGCATACCCACGTTTGCTAAAAGAAAACAAAGATATAACTATAAGTATTATTTCCATTCTACCAAAAAAAATGGTAGTTAGTACTAGAAAGAGATACCTGCGGAGACTTATATAAACTGGACCTATATATTATTTAAAATACTTTTATATTATGTAGTTATATTATGGAGACTATATATTCATCGAAGAAAAATGTAAAGAAATAGAAGAATTATAACATAGACATGATTACTTTAATATGTACAAGAAGGTGAAAGAATTTTCATTCATCCACAAAAAACAACATTGCCCACTGGTAAATAACAACTGAGAGTTAATTCATAACACCAAAGATAAAATAGAAGAATGGGAAAAATTTATACAACAGCTGTTCCGAGATGAAAGAATAGACATTACAATAAAGAATGTTACTGAAAGCCCACCAATTCTAAAAGTCGACGTGGAATATGCCATTAAACAATTAAAGACCAACAAAAGCCCTGGACCTGATGAAGTTTATCCTGAAATACTTAAATTGATCGAGAGTAATAACATTGATTTGTTAGTAATTTTGTTTAATACAATCTACGATACTGGAGAAATACCAGAGGAATGGTTAGAATCTATTTTTATTCCCATTCCAAAACAAGCTAACTCCAGGCGATGCGCAGATTTTAGATTAATAAGTCTTATGAGCCAAGTGCTTAAAATTCTATTAAAAATACTTCACAATAGGGTATACAAAAGGTGTGAAAAAGAAGTTGGATACGATCAATTTGGATTCAGAGCCGGAATGGGGACCAGAGAGGCCTTGTTTTCACTACAAGTACTGCTGCAGAAGTGTTACGACCAACAAAAGGATGCTTTCTATGTTTTGTAGACTTTGAAAAGGCATTTGATCGCGTAAACCATAATAAAATGTTAAATTCCTTGCAGAGCATCAACTTGGATAGTAAAGATCTCCGATTAATTAAGAACTTATATTGGAGGCAGAGTGCCAAGATTAGGATCGACGATCATACATCTAGAAATATTAGTATAAATAAAGGAGTAAGGCAAGGATGCATACTATCCCCTATGCTGTTCAATCTTTACTCGGAACTACTATTCAAGCAAGCCTTGGAAAACCTTTCCACAGGAATAAAAATTAATGGAGAACCAATATCTAGCATAAGATATGCAGATGACACTGTTCTACTGTCTGATACAGACACAAACTTACAGGGGGTTATAGACCACCTTAAGGATGCTTGTCGAGAGTTTGGAATGAAGATCAACGAAAAAAAAAACAAAAGTAATGGTGATCCAAAGAAAACAGAATATCCCCTTACCTATAAAAATAAATGGGAATATTTTAGAACAGGTAAACCAATACAAATACCTTGGCTGTTGGATTAATTGCAAGCTGGACCCAGAACAAAAATTAAAGCGAGAATTGCTCAAGCTAGGGATAGTTTCTTTAAGATGCGCGTTCTATTCTGCGATACACATATAAATATTAAATTGAGATTAAAACTTGTAAAATGTTTTATCTGGTCTGTTCTTCTCTACGGAGTCGAAACGTGGACTTTAAAAATAAAGAGCCTGAATAGAATCGAGGCATTTGAAATGTGGGTGTACCGTAGAATTTTAAAAATTCCTTGAACAGCACGAAAAACAAATGAAGAAGTACTAGCTAGACTCAATTTAGAAAAAGAACTATTGAGAACAGTCAAAAGAAGAAAAACCAGTTATTTAGGGCATTTGTTGCGCAACGAGAAATTATACTACATCCCTCAGTTGATAATAAAAGGCAAAATAGAAGGAAAGCGAGGAATTGGAAGAAAAAAATTGTCCTGGTTACGTAATATCAGAAACTGGACAGGACTTGGATTTGAGGAACTCTTAAGAGCAGCTGAAGATAGACAAACGTTTGCCACGATAACCGCTAACCTCCATTGATGGAGACGGCACTTGAAGAAGAAGATATATTCATCTTTAGCATAGTATACGATTGGAGTCGTGGATATGCAGGGAATAGAAGATATACACTAAAGACTTGGTGAGAAGGCTGTGTATATATGTGTATGTGTGTTTTATTGGTACTGATTTTAACAACCAACTGGCCAGTCAATTTGCTTTGAGTTCTCTCTTTACACAAGATTGGGTTATTATCTACGTTTAAAACTATTGTATTGCATTGGCGGTTAATATATGAAATGTTAGAAATTTACTTACTAGTTGTTTACTCTGTTTTTACTGTTTACTGTTTTACTTTTTTTATTTATTTTTTTTATAATTTTTTATTACAGAAAGACAGTTATGACTTATATTCACGTATAGTGCCTCTGTATATTCGCTTATGCGTATTTCATCCTAAAAGGAATCTTCGGAGCGACTATTCACAGAAACTTTGAACGTGAAAACAATCTTTCCTGTCGAAAAGGAAGCAACGATAAAACGGCTTCACTATGAACGCAATAACGACAAATTATTATTATTTTTTTATTATTATTTCTTTTTTATTTATATTTTTTTAATTTTTTTTTATTTTTTATTATTTTTTTTTATTTTTTTATTTTTTTTGTTTTTTTTTTGTTTATTTTTTTTTTATTTTTTTTATTTTTTTATTTTTTTTTTATTTTTTTATTTTTTTTTATTTTTTTTTTATTACTAGATACGCTAAGACAAACTCGATTTGACACCTCGGAACATTAGGTCCTCTTAGTAACTTTTTATTTAATTTTATTCTCTATATATTTTTTAAATTTTTTATCAGAGCTTTAATTGTAAACAATTAATATGACTATATATTTTTTTTTTAAAGATGTGTTAGATTAGAAGGTAATTGAACAATAACGTGAACGAGATTCGTATAAAAATTTGATATTTCAATAAAACGTACATACATTCTAACGCATATGTTGTAGATCAGCTAGCTCCCCACATATACAGTGCTAATCAAAAGTCCGTTCCTGCTCGTATCTTTTGAAAGGTTATTGTTATAATAGTGAAATTTGGAGTAAGGTAATGAACAGACGTAGGCTTCTTAACTAGTCATAACAGGTGACGTAATAGTGACAGATGACGTTACAGCGCCACTGTGACAGATAATTTTAAATGGAACCTTATAGCAAGTGATACCTCGTTTGAAAGGTATTAAAAATACCTATTTAGTCATAATAATTTTGTTTGTGTTTAAGCTCATTTTGATGAATAAATTAAATACCATATTCTTCAAGACTTTATTGACAACATTCTTTAAGACTTTATTAACCATATCCAAGAATTTATTGACTATTGGAGGACCTAACATCTACAACACACAAGCAGCCCATTGTCATTGATGCCATAAATATTATCCTCATTAATTAATTGTTAAGCATTGGCAGGGTTTATTATGGTTTTTTTATTTTTTTTTTTTTTTTTAATATGATTGATTAAAATTCTGTTTTATTTGCTATTAGCTAAAGTTTTAGGTTAAATCCCTAGTTTGACAAGACAAGACGAACTCACACTCGAGATACTGAGCTAAGCAAGGCATAGACGATAAGCTCCCATGGTTTAGTAGTTTAATTCTAGGAGAACGCTAGGAGAACTACAAGAAGGCGTATTAGTCAACGGAATGCGTCTAAACAACATTAGATATGCCGACCACGCAGTAGTTTTTGCAGATAGTCTGGACGGTTTTCAAAGAATAATGTCGCATATATCAGATATAGGTAGAGAACACGGACTTGATCTTAATACGAAGAAAACAAATTACATGGTAGAAATATTAAATACACAGCTTTTGGTTAACCAACATCCAATTGACAGAGTGAACAGCTACACATAACTTGGTACCAACATTAACAGCCAACGAGATCACTCCAGTGAAATAAAACAACGCATAGGAAAAGTCACGATTTACCACTTGCTGCCAAAATCTGTCTCATTAGATGCTATGTATTTTCTACGTTATTATACGGAGTAGAGGCCTGGACAATTTCCGAAGCTTCTTTAAGAAAACTCGAGGCATTCGAGATGTGGTGTTACAGACGTATTTTAAGAATTTCATGGGTGGATCGTGTGACTAATGTTGAGATCCTACGTAGAATAGGCAAGGAATGCGAGATTATTAACACCATCAAAGAGCGCAAACTAGAATATCTTGGCCATGTTATGAGAAATGAACAGAGATACGGTTTGTTGCAACTCATTCTTCAGGGCAAGGTCTTTGGAAAGAGAGGACCAGGGAGAAGAAGAATTTGGCTTCAAAACCTGAGAAAGTGGTTTAATACATCTATAACCGGACTATTTAGAATAGCAGCAAGCAAAGTTAGGATAGCCATATTGATCGCCAACATCCGGTACAGATGGGCACCATAAGAAGAAGAAGTTTAATTCTCTTTGGTAGTCTAATCGTTACAATTCTTTTGATCATGAAATATAAATGAAATAATTCAAATACGTACAATTCCCTAGCGCACGCCCTTGCTACAATATTAACAAAAAAAACAACAGTCGTCCCACTAAGTTATAGTAAATTCTTCCGATATAATGACTATTAAAAATACGGTATGCTGTTAACTACTAGAGTTACCGATAGCTTAAGTTACGATGTCTGATAATATAGTTCATAAGGTAGATATGTTAGTTTACACATTGTTAAAATTATGATTTGTGAGTGATCCTCATAACATTAATAATATATTCGTTTGTTTATTCCTAGTGGATCTTTATTGTGTATTTACTGTAGAAGACTTATGTCGTGCTATTTTCTTATTATTTTTTTTATAACAGCCTTAGTATCTTCTTACATGCTATCGGGTTTTTGATTCATAATTATTTTTATCGGTATTTAACATTACTTGCTCTTTCATAAATTTTAGAATGTGCTTCTGTGAGTACTTACCAGGATACAAGCTCCGTTATCACAAGTATATTCATCAGGCGAACATGTTTTCGTGACATTGTAATCGCAGTTGAGTTCATCTTCATTATCATCACAGTCGTGTTGTCTGTCGCATTTGTAGCGTTCGGGTATGCATTTCCCACTGTTACATCTAAAGATAAAGATAAAGATGTGGTTAAATAATTATATCTTAAAACTTTAAAAGTGAACAAGTTAATAATTATTCAAAGAAATCTAAAGCTCTATATTATCAGCCATTTTATGATCAGTTAAATATTAAACAAAGAAAAATATCATATAGTATTAAACTTCAATTAAAATAATGAGAAAAAAATTTAAATTTTTAAATAAATTTTCCCAACTTACTTGAATTCTCCTGACACACACGTTCCAGGTGTCTTCGGACAATCATCTTCATCGCTCCAATCATCACAATCATCATCACCATCACATTTAAACTCAAGTTTAATGCATTTGTGGGTGTTACATTGGAATTCGCCTTCCGTACAATAGGGGGGAACAATATCTAAAAAATATAATCAGTAACATAAACAGTATTTAATGCTATCTTATAAAAATTTTATCGTCATCAGTTGGAGCTACAGCCCTTCGTGAGCTCTGGCCTACCTCATCATCCTTTTCTGTCGAGTGTATGTCTTCTCCATTCTCTTACTCCACTCTCCCTTAAATCGTCCTGAATATTGACCAGATATCCCCTTCTTCTTTCAACCTGCGTATTTAGCATGGTTATTTCAAAAGGATTACTTTTATCCATCCTCATAATGTGGCCGTCTATAGAGTTCGAAATTGTATCGCCTTCTTCACAGACCCTGTTCGTTAACTCCGTTATATATGGTCCTAAATACTTTTCTGTCAAAGATTTGTAGTAACTTTTTATCTCGGGTCGCTACTGATCATGTTTCTGATCCGTAGGTGAGCACTGGGCATATGGGATTTTGCAGTCAACCAGGGAACCTAAGCAGAACTCTTTCACCGTTTCTATAGTTGCGTGTTGCACCTCTAAGTTATTTTGTTGCATTTTTTATATAGCCTATACATCAGAATATATATTTAGTTTTCTGGGAGTTAATCAAAAGTCCATGTTTTCTGCAGCGTTTTTAATACGTGTGAAAATATTTAACCATTAGTCTTATACTATTACAAAATGATATATCTGATGTGAAGTGTGCTGGAATATAGCAAAGGTAAGAAAATAATATTGTAACAGTGCTTACAAATACTGTTATAACATTGGAATAAATAACAAAGTTAACAAGCTCACCTAACCGATTGATTGACAAAATGTCCAATATGTTATAAACAACTCAAAATCTGGCGGATCGCCTAGGCCAGATAAAGGTCACATGGAATTAATTTAACTTGATAAAGACAATTTAAACACAATAACCATTCTCTTTAAGAACACATACAAATCTGGTAATATATGTACGGAATGGCTACTGACCTTTGTTTTGCTACCCAAAAACAAGAATAATCACAAGAATAATATAATAACTATAAAATAATCAGTTTAATGTCACAATTATTAAGGATATACATGCAAAAAGATTTAGAAATTATGAAGCGGATATGAGTAATATACAGTTTGGCTTTCGTAAATTGCTTCGAAACAGTAGAAGCTTCATACAGTTTCACAACTCTTGCTTAAAAATATCGAGACCAACAAAAAGATCTTTTGAATGAATTTAATGCGTTTAAGAAAGCTTTCGACAAAGTTAACATAACATGCTAATGGAATGTCTAAAGCGAAAAGGACTCGACAAAAATGATACTAAAATATTGAGAAATCTCTATAGTAACCAACAGGCTGTAGTAACATTAGATAGAAATATCACGGATGCGCAACAAATAAGTAGATGAATGAGACAAGGCTGTGTACTTTCACATTGGTATTTAATATATATTCCGAATAGTTATTATTACAAGCACTTGAAAACTGTACAGAACGGATCAAGATAAATGGTAAACATATAAATAACATTCGTAATGCCGACGATATGGGCATTATTACTGAAAGTAAGAAAGACTTGCAGACGCTTATTCTTCTTCATGTACCATGTCCTTTGACATTGTTGGTTACCATCATCTTTTTCTTCTTCTTCTTAGCCTTCTGTCGTCCATGTTTGGACATAGGCCTCTCCCAACTACTTCCATCGGTCTCTATCCTGAGGAACATATTTCCAATTTGTTCCGGCTATTCTTTTAATGTCATCAACCCATCTCATATGTGATCTTCCTCTTGGTCGTTTACTTTCGTGAGGTCTCCAATGTTGAATTGTAGTATTCCAACGTTGGTATTTCTGTCTAGCAGTGTGGCCCGCGAAGCTCCATTTAATTTGGCAATTTTTGTTGTTATGTCCTCGACTTTTGTTTTGGATCTTACCCAGTCATTCCTCTTTTTATCTGACAGTCGTACACCTAACATTGCTCCTTCCATTGTTCTTTCTGTTGTGGCTAGTTTATTCATGTTTGCCTTGGTTAGGGTCCAGCTTTGACATCCATATGGCATGATAGGAAGGATGCATTGGTTGAACACTTTGCTCCTCAAGTATTGGGGTATTTTGCAGTTCTTAAGTATCCGACTAAGTTTTCCAAATCTTGCCCATGCTAATCTTGCTCTTCTAGTAATTTCCGCACTTTGGTTCTCTTTGTCAAGTCTCAGGATATGGCCTAGGTAGATATATTCTTGGATTTGTTCTATCTCACTGCCGTTTATAGTTATATGTCTGGGGTCATCTGTGTTTGTCATTATTTTTGTTTTTTTTTTTTCATATTCATTTTTAGGCCGACGTATTGGGAGCTGGATGCTAGTTCCCCCAACATAATTTGCAAATCCTCGAATGTGCTCGCTATAATCACTATGTCGTCAGCGAATCTGAGGTGGTTTAACTAGTTGCCATTAACGTTAATGCCATAGGTTGACCAATTTGTAGTTTTGAAGACGTCTTTTAGGGCTAGGTTGAAAAGCTTTGGCGATATTAAGTCTCCTTGTCTCACTCCTCTCTTAATGGGGATGGGATTTGTACTTTCTTCTAGTTGTATTATCATAGTTGCATTTTCGTATATATTATGTATTAGTTTTGTAGGTTAACCAGTTATTAATAATTCTCATAAATAGTTTGTATACTTGACTGAGCAACGATATAGGTCTATAATTCTGTAGATCACATTTGTCCCCTTTTTTGTGTAAGAGTATTACTAGACTCTCGTTCCAGTCAGTAGGAATCTGGCTATTATGGAGGCATCTATTAAATAGCTCTGTTAGTATAGGAATTGTTATTGTCTTGCTTGTTTTTAAGAGCTCGGCAATTATACCGTCGTGTCCTGGAGCTTTATTATTTTTTAGTTCTTTTAAAGCTCTTTCTATTTCATCTATTTCATGATGGTTACCACCCTAAATAGCATACTTGTATCAACACTATACCAATCTTGCAAGTTCTTCAACCATGAGGCTCTTCTTCGTCGCGTTTGCCTGCTATTTTTGCCTTGCATGATATTTTGTAGCAACCTATATTTGGAACCTCTCATTATATGTCCGAAATACTTCAGCTTTCTCTGCTTGATGCTTTTTATGATGTCAGTAGCCTTGCTGAGACGTTCTAGTATTGTGGAGTTTCGAAACTTTTTCACCCAGGAAACTTTTAAAATTCTTCTATAGCAACATATTTCGAAAGTCAAGGCGATTTAGATCGATTTTATTCACAGTCCAGAACTCGACACCATAAAGTAAGACCGAGATCACGTAGCAGCGAAGTAGGCGGATCCTCATTGCCAATTTTAGGTCTTTGTTTAAATTTAATTTCGCCTGACTTTCTGCGTTACCATTTAATTGCTGTCCAAGGTAAACGATTTTATCAACTTGCGCAAGTTTGGTATTATTTACATATATAGACTTATATACGAGTATTTTGGTTTTCCGTATATTCAGATCCAGACCTGCCTCCCTACAACTCTCAACGACACTATCAAGTAGTTTTTTGCAGATCTTCTTGACTAGAAGCTAGGAGTACTGTATCGTCCGCATATCGCAAATTATTGATGACTTCGCCGTTCACAATTATTCCTTCTTGTTTTTCAGAAAGTGCTCAAAGGAGTGACAAGAGGCATCCCTGTCATCCTCTTTTAATAATTAGAGCCTGTGATACCACACCATCTACTAAAACTGATGTTGTTCGATTCCAATATAAATTTGTAATTATTTAAACATATCTGCCGTTTAAGCTAATGTCTTTTAGAGCTTCGATCAATATGGAGTGCTTAATACGATCAAATTCCTTTTGGAAGTCAATGAAACAGTATATGTCTACAGATATATCTTAACATCTTTGAGCAAGTACGTTTATTCCAAACAGTGCCTCTCTCTTTCCAAACCCGTTACGGAAACCAAACTGGGTGTCATATAAGTATTCCTCGTATTTCTTGTAGATATGATATTACCTTCAGAAAAATTTTTAATAAGTGGTTTAACAAACTGATAGTTCTACAATCAGCACAGGTTTTTGCTATTATCTTCTTAGGTTGAGCTATAAACAGTGAATTAGACCAACCATTAAGTAGTTGTCCGCTGGTATAAATGGTATTGAAAAACGAAGTTATAGCCTTTAAAACATTGCTTATCATTTATAGGCTTGTATATTTCAGTTGAAATTTCATCAGGACTAGTCGCTCTGCCATTTTTTGATGATTGTATGGCTGTTATAATCTCAGAACCTGTTATTAGGGGTCCGTCGCAGTAAGTGATATCTGGAGGTGAACTACTCCTTTCGTCTTCGAATTGGTTCGTGACGTAATTTTCCCGTTCTTAAAGTTTGTCCTCGACATCAAATATTAGTTTACCATGTTCATCCTGTAGCAATGCAGTTTGTTTCTTGTTGAAGATACCAGCTGCTTCTTTCACTTTTTGATACATGTTAATCGTGTCGTATCTGTTTTTAAGTTCATCAATGTCATGACACTGTTTGCCTAGATGTTTACTCTTTGCTTTTCGTATTTTACGTCTAATTTCTTTTTGTATGCTGTTGTAAAGTGTTTCGTTGTTTTTCGCTAGTCGCCGTTGTTCCATCAAATCCAATATGTCATCTGTCATCCAAGCCTGCTTTTTTAGCTTTGACCTGCCTTGTAAATGTCTTACACAAATTTCTTTTACTGTTGTTACGATTTTATTTAAGCCCTCATTAACATTTTCACCCATATTTTCCCAAAATAAATTTTCGTTCAGTTGTCTTTAAACTGATTCATTAACTTTCTCATCTTGTAATTGGGCTGTATCAATATTTTTGCGAAACTTCTTTTTGATTGGGTTACAGCTACTATGGGATTGTAATCAGACCCAATGTCAGCACCGGGATAAGTTTTAACTGATTTTATGCAGTTTCTAAATCGATTATTTATTAGAATGAAGTCGATTTGGTTCCTAATAATTTTGTCCTCTGATTCTGCATTTGACTTTCAGGTGTAGAGTCTTCTCGGTGGTAGTTTAAGTTAAGTATTCAATATAACGAAACCGTGTTCTTGACAGAACTGGACAAGTCGATCTCCATGTTCGTTTCTGTTACCCAAGCCATAATTCCCCACAATATTTAAAGAGCGTCCTTTGCCGACTTTAGCGTTAAAATCTCCGAGGAATATCGTATTTTTTGCTGCTTTGGCAAGATCTAGAGCATCAGTAAGATCTTTGTAAAATGCTTCTAATTTATCTTCATCACTGGCTGATGTTGGGGCATAGACCTGAATTACATTAGTAATAACGGCTCTGAATTAGATTGCAGACTAAACTGCAGATAAAAAATGAAGATATTAAATAAGTCGACTAAATGAAATACTTAGGAGCCTGCATTACTGAAGATCCAAATCCGAAATCAGAAATTCAATTAAGAATAGAGCAATCAAGAGCAACCTTTTTAAAGATAAGGAAATTTCTGAGTAACCAAAGACTCAATCTGCAAATTCGATATCGGATGGTAAAATGTTATATCCACTCTATTCTATAGTACCGAAACTTGGACTGTTAATGTTGACTTAATTAGAAAGCTAAAAATTTTGAGATGTGGATTTTTGGGAGAATTTTAAATATACCATGGACCGATCATATTAAGACCAAATGGCTGTAACGATGTTCTCATCGTTTAACAGTTTGAACCATGGGAGTGTCAATGTTTGCGCATCCACTTCCTCAGCGAGATGGCGAAGTGAGTGGGATTCGGAGCGGCTATTTAAGGCATGTAAGTAGCGGAATTAGTCAGTCTTGCAGCTGGCGCTCTAGGCTCCCCGACTCGCAAGTGTATTAAACCAGCGATACAACCCAGACAGAGAGATTTCCGCATTGAGGATCATACTCTGTCCTTAACTAAGCAGAACTCATCGGTATTGTGTACTGAGCATTGCCGTGGGCCTGCACAGCCGAATATTTTTGTTTGCGAGTGTGATTGGAGCTTCCGCTGTACTAAAGCGGCAGCGAGTATAAGTCTGCGTGCGATCGAAGTCAAATATTTTATTTGTTTTGTATTAATAATAACTTTTTCTTTCTTTTATAGACGTTCGCCGGGAATTCCTTCATCGCTGGATCCAGACGGGGACGTAGAATTCGTTTTATTTTTATTTTATACGGCGGAGAATTCATTTTATTTTTATTTTTATTGTAGATACGTTAAATTAATAGATATATTTTAATTTCAACCTGTGTTTTACTAAGTCTGTCGTTCCGAAAGAGCTACCCGTCACATAGTGTTGAACAGAATGGGAAGAGACAGAGAAATTTTGACTACTATTAAAATTAAAAAGACAGTATATTTGGGGCACTACTTAGAAATGGTAAGTACGAGTTGTTGCAGCTGATTATTTAGGGTAAAATCAAAGAAAAAAGGGGTCTTAGTAGACGACAAATATCCTGGCTGAAAAACATTAGCGACTGGACCGGGTTAAACACACAGACGCTTTTAAGAAAATCATAAGATAGAGACGAATTTGCAATCGTTATAGCCAACCTTCATTAGCAGTGTCGGCACTAGAAGACTAATAAAAAGAAGAAAAAAATGTTTATATACGATAAAATTTATTATATATAAAAAAATAGTTTAGTATGGACAAAAATATAGTTCAGTGAGATATTATACTTACCACAGTCACTTTCGTCAGAGCCATCAGTGCAGTCTATGTGTCTATCACATTTCCAGCTCATGGAAATGCAAGTTGTATCTGAGCATTCGAATTCATTTTCTTCACATCTAAAATAAAAGATAAAGCTTAGAAGATTGCTAAATCGTATTTTTTTAGAACTAATCAAAAACTAATAAATTTATAAGTTTGTTTTGATGTTCTACTTGATCTGTTTTTATTTTCTTTGTTCATATTATAAGTTTTTCACAACATTTACACTAGAGCTCGCCCGTACATCATTAAGTTTTTGCCGACGACGTTTCTTCCCTAGACGGAGAGCTGATAGACAGTTTGAATAAGATGTATTTTACATTTAAGTTGTTTTTAACTTATTACTCAATAAAAAATATTCCAGATCCAAATAAATATTCCAGATAAATTTATCGTGTCTTAATCTAATTATTAAGAATAATTAGATTAAGACCAAATAAATATTCCAGATAATTTATCGTGGCTTGATAATTTTATTTTCTTAATTTTCAAAATATGTGTAGAAGCATACTTAAGTAATCTACACATATGTAACTACATTCCTGGTATTGGCTTTATTTAAGTAACTTTCCAGAGATCTGCAAACGATGAACCGCAAATTTTGTTGTTCGAATCCGGTCGTCCAAGGTACAATAAACTAATTGTGAGCAAGTCTAAAATGCACGCCATACAGACTACGGTCTACCGGAGAGGTCTACCTATGTAGGTATGCCTGTACAGGTCAACGAAACAGCGGTAGCGTGTATGGGGATTCTCCGGTGTACCGGTGAGGTCTTCAGTTCCTTTAGCGATGACATCGATTGAAGACGATGACGCGTTGTTATTGTTAGGCCTTGTTTTAATTTTGAAGACAAAAACAAAATTGTTCACTGTTTTTTTGTTAAAAAAAACAGTGAAAAATAAGCGAAAAAAGTGGTGTAAGCTTGGTTGTTGAAAAGGAAAACATACAGTCGTGTTAAACTTATTGAATGAATTCAAATTTGAACCAGAAGATTTTAAAAACTACCTCCGGATGGAAGAGAAAGAAAGACACAGTTATGAGAATCTCATAACTATGTCTTTCTGCACATAAAACTGTAGTATTTCTGCTCATAAAAGATTATCAGTTACGTTGAGATTTCTCGCAACTGGAAGAAGTTATGAGGATTTAAAAGTCTCATCAATTATTTCATCTCAAACGCTTTTTTATCTCGATTATGGTAATCTTTGTTTTTGATTTCTCAAAGACATGGATGAATTCTTTTAATTTCGAAAAAATGTTCAAGCGTTTTTTTTTTTAGTTGAAACTGGTGACACCGTTTTCTAGGGTTAATTAAAGAGTGGTGTGACAAGACGACCTTCCAAAGAAACACGCACAGGTACATCGTACTGTGTCACTCGAAAAAATTGATTTTTGATTTTGCTCCGGTCGCCTGTGCAGGTTCAAAAAACTGCACAGGTCTATTCCCACACACGTTCCGGTCTACCTGCGCAGGCATGCCAGCACAGGTAGACCCCTCCGGTAGACCGTAGTGTGTATGGCGTGCATTTACGCGAGTAACGAGTAAGACACTGCTCTACATATTTCGCCATCTACGCGTCAGAAAAAAAGTAAACATCATTTATAACGGCTTGGCGGTAAAGGGGATTAGTTTTGTGCTTAAGTTTTCTTAAGTCATATTATAGTTCACCGGTTGCATTTTACGATAGTCTGTAGGACTTATTTTAAAAAAAATTTCGTAGTGTTCAACTAGTAGGGCTTCTAAATATCAAATAGATATATAAATAGATATTTATACTAGTGAATATTTTAAAGGTTTTTGATTCTTGCGTATGATATATAATACGTTAGACAATCGTAGTAACTAATCAATATTGTTTAATTTTTTTGGAAAAAATGACGAAAAAATATGATCCTAATGATCCCAAAGATGCAGAGGAATTATTAAAAATATATGAGAGTTTAGAAGATGACGATAGTTTGGCTCAGGAAACTGACCATGTAACGACGTATAACTCACGTTGCATTATTTAAATAACGGAACTGATTCTGACAGAGATGATGCCGGAAGTGATGAGGCAGATCAGTTCAATTACACTTTTCAAAGTATTGGCCGAGGTACACTATCTCAAAGCATTGCTATTACAGCTGTTTCGCAAAAAAAATACAGCAACTGAGAAAACAGTGCTGTCAAATACAACTGTGAGTGAAACTCACGAATCAGGTAACAAAAGAAAAAGGGAGGTTGCAGAAATTTCGCAAGATTTTGAAAACATAAAAAAATCTATGAGAAGAATCGATCGTAAGTGGGAAGAAAAAAACTTGAAAAATGAGCCAAAAATGATATTTTTAAAAACAATATGGAACCTATATACTAAATGAATAGTAACAACCAAATTTGAAGCCACGCGATATGTTTAAATTACTTTTTAATAAAAAATTAATTGAATTTTTTTATAAGGAACCGGTAAAATACGATGTACAAAGATCCTACCCTGTCTCTTTGTTCGTTGATAATATTAATACTTTGACATTCTTATTTTCTCTGGATACCACCCATTGCCCTCTAGAACAGGGCTTCCCAAACTGTGCGTCGCGACGCCCTGGGGCGTCGCTGCTTTGTCCCAGGTGCGTCGCGTGTCAGCACGGGCGTTTTAATATAGAAAATATATTTATTTGATTTTAAATGAGTATAAAATATATGTATTAAAATATAATCAGATAAAAAATATAACATTACGTCGATAGACCCTTAAATTATCCGAAATTGAAAAAGAAAGCAAACGTAGTGAAGAATCAGGCAAGGGCGGTAATGTTAATTTAAGTAAAAAGAAGAAATATAGGAAATATGACGGCCAATATTTGGATTTTGAATTTACCTGCATTACTAAATTGAATGTAGAATTTCCACAATGTGTTGTTTGTCACAAATTTATTGGCGGCTGAAAGTATGCTTCGTCATAAAGTCCTAAACTAAAACGGCATTTGTAATCTACTCAAAGTCATTCACAAGGTAAGCCAAAAGACTTTTAGTAAGAAAATTTCGAGAGCTACAATATTAGACCACGGCTTTGGTTTTCAGAGCATCAATTTCCACTAAAGCATTGCTCGCCTTGTACGTGATAGCTTACCGTATTGCCAAATGTAAAAAACCACAAACGATCGCCAGAGCTGATCTTATCTGCAGCGGTTGATATAGTAACAGTGATGTTTGGAGAATCAGCAGTTAAAGAAAAAAAATTCAAACAATACGGTTAGTCGCTGTATTCACGACATGGCAGCAGATATTAATGAACACATTGTGGGGAAACTTTCAGGTTTAATTGCCATCCAACTGGACGAGGCGACTGATAGTAATGATGATGCTCAATTGATATGTTATGTACGGTACACACAAGAAACAAATATTTTATGCTGTATTAAAAGTTTTATTACCATTTTCGACTTCGTACTTGTGCAAAACGGGATTTTCTGCAGTTGTAGTAATTAAAAACAAGTACAGGTCAAATATAAATTTAGAAAAAGAGTCGAAATTCCCAAACTAGAACCCCGGTTTCATAAGGTGTGCTCAAAAAAACAAGCACATCCCTCACATGAACCAGCCAGTTACATACATAAATATCCCTTTGTGCCTGTTTTGATTTTGTTCTTAATTTCTAATAAAAAAAATTTTAATGTTCAAATAGTGTTTTTGTTATAACTCTAACCTGTTACTAGGCTAGTACTAAAATTGGTAATTGTTATTGGGCGTTGGGTTGAGGGGGCGTCGCAAAAAAATAGCAAAGTCCCAAGGGCGTCACAGTAAGAATAAGTTTGGGAAGCCCTGTTCTAGAAGAATGTATTGGGAATGTCGAGTGGACTCTCGCTCACACCCCAGCTATTTAACTCACGTGCGATTGTTTATATAATACTGTTTTACTAATATACTGTACTATGTGTATATTATTTTACTAATAATTTGTATACTATATCAAACAAGCTTTTGATTAAATTACAAATTTCACAAGGTGAACGCCTGTTCTAGTTACACCGATATTTTCAATGTTATAAATAAACAATCACATTTAACAATAAGCAATTATGAATATTATTAAAAGAATTTTAAGTTTTTAAACTGAATTGGATTACTTAGACCTGATGCTTAATTAAATTCCTTGACAAAATATTAGAAAACGATAACAACGAAGAAAAAAAATAACATAATTAACGCAGTAACAGACTCCCTTGGAGAGAGAAAAGTAACGAACACTAATATATGAAAACAGAACACACCATGGTTTAGAGGGGAAGTAAAGACAAAATGTGAAGTAAAAAGAAAGCCTTTTTACAACATAGAACACAACAACAACAGGCATATAAACAATATAAACGAATTAAAAATCACACGATAGTAGAAACCCGTATCGTTTGCATTAAATACATATTTTGGGCCATAATCCTTTAAAATTACAAACAGCTTTTCGTTCCAAGATTTCACGTGTTAGACATTAACATCAGCGCCCCAGATATTTTTAAATTCAAGTTTCGAGTCTTACAAAACCAATTGAACACAGCTTGACGCTAGTTCCTCGATTTAGGAAATTTTCTTTTTTGGTCAATTTTACCACCTTCTTAAAACAAATTTCTGACCACTTCTTTATTTTATAGCAGTATGGTCACTTGAGTCTACAGTGTCGACTATTCTCACCAAGCAGAAAAATCAATAAGCGGAAGGCAACACTAATTAACACATATACGTTTAAAATTTAACTTAAAGTTAAAACCAGATCTTAAAGTTTGAAAAATAAATTTTGTGGATCCGCCGACCATTACTGAATTTTTATCTAATTTTTTATTCCGTAAGAAGGATCGAATTTTATTGCTCTTTATTGAGAATGTTACTGAGATTACGTACACCCGCGGTTTATCGGTATAAAAGATGTATAAAAGAACGGGGGATTTGCATTTCTAATTCAAATTCCATCTTTTCATTATTAGGCAATTAGCATATATAGTGATACTGCCAAACTAAATACCATGTTAAACTTACCATGTATAAAATAAACTTACCCCATTATGGTACAATTTAGTTCATCTGAAAAGTCTTTGCAGTCGTTGTCGTTATCACAAGTCCATAATTTTGGAATACATAGTCCATTCTCGCACTGAAACTGATCCATGGTGCAATTGATTTTAAACCCTATAAATTAAATAAATAAAATTATTAGATTTGTATTTATAATTTGTTTAAATTTGCATTAATATTATTTAATATATATTGATATGACGTAAAATGTTACTATATTAATGGTACACAAAGTTCTTGGCCTGATAGTGAAACCGACAACTTATGCTTTGAACAAAGATTTTTTTTAACTTATCCTACTCTTGTATCAATAAATTTCATTCACGGTGTTGCAGTATTGTTATTCTTCACTTTACCCATTGTCAAAACACTTTTGTGCTCACGTGGATGATTCTGCTCAACAAGGATTTCTGTTTTCTTTAAACATGACCCAGTTTAATAATGCTTGCATCCAGTTTCATTAGAAGTTAATAATAAAATGATCTATTTATATTTTCACTTTTTTAAGATCTTTCAGCATAGCAAAATTTGCAATTTTACCTTTTAAGTCCCAAAAAACCGATATTAGGACTGAAAACCTGGCTTTTATCGTTCAGGTAAACTACTATTTGATTCTAAATGTACAGTATTGAATCCAGTATAAACTTATTGATCATAAAAGTCTCTTTTGTTTATCATTAATACAAAAACATTTTGAATAGTGTAAATTTCCAAAATTGAAATTTTTATGTAAAATTTGATGTACCTTCTTTTAATACCTTTAGAATATTATCAATTTTGACAAAACTTTATAAGCCAATCTTTCAAAACAACCTCATTTACTTTGTCTAAGATTTCCAGTGTGATTACAGTCTTTGGACTTCATTCATATGAACCATCTTGGACACTGTTTTGCCGCCACGTTTAAATTTATCCGTTTATTTCTTCAGTCTGAGGGTGAAGAGTCACCCTATTCTTTTTTTTTTTCAGAAGCCGGTATAATTGGTCACACTGCAACCAATTGGTTTATTGCATTTCTTCTTCCGTTTATGTAACCTTATAGTTCAAGTTTTAGGCTTAAGATCTACTGACGTAGCCGAAATCGACGGCTTTACTTGACCTCCGAAGCACGGCAGAGGCTCAGGTAAATTATAAATTGAAAAATATCTGGTGTCTGACTGGATCGAACCCGAGTACTCCGGCTTGGTAATACCTGCGCTATGGCTGCCATACCATACGTGTTTATAAATTATTTGTTATAAATAATATACTTTACAATACATACAATAGATTTTGATTGGTGCTTTTTATTGACTCCGTTTACGAATATTTGTATTACTAAATAAATATACATGGTTGAGTTTCGATTCAACGCAATTTCGATTGTTATGCTCTTTAAGTCTTCTTTCACTTGTTGTCTTTATCTTAGTTTAGGTCTGCCTCTATTTCTTTAACCTTGTGGTGTCTTGCTCTAAGTATGTTCTCTTGACGCATCCGTTCTTGTATTTCGTGATACATCTATTGTCTTGCATCCTCTTTATTTTCCCTCTTTAGTTCCAGTATTTTTCTGATAATCTTCCTCTCAAAAACTTTCAATTGCTCTTCTTTTCTTGCTGTTAACGTGAATGTTTCTACAGCATATACTACTATTATCTGTCTTATGATCGTTTTATAGATTTTCATTTTTGTGTTTCGGCTTATCTCTAAACATTTTTTTATTTTCATAAAACGCTGCATTTCCCGCTTGAATTCTTCTTTTTATACCTAAACTTTTATTCCTTCTATTGACTAGTACTCCCAAATATTTGAATGTTTAAACCTCGAAACTGTGTGCATCTATTGTCAGTTCTGTCATGTGTGTCGTCTTTTTTTGCGTACCTTCATATATTTTGTTTTATTTTCATTTATTTCCAGTCTTCTCAGTTTGGCTTCGTTTTCTATTTCTTAAAAGGTTTTCTTTAATGTCCTTTTATCTATTGCAACTATAGTTGTATCGTTCGCATATCCTATTATTTGTACCAGTGGCGCACCCAGGGGGGGTTTTGGGGGTTAAACAGCGCCTTTCCCTGACTTGCTCCATTTTTTATTTTTATTATTTCTGTTCTTTCAGATGTCTATTATTGTTTGGGAATCTCGCATTGTCATTCCTATCATTCCTATAATTTTATTTGGTATATTATTCTCTTAGTTTGTCAACTTACTTCCTTACTTAATCAGTAGACCCATTTGTACGTTCCGGTGTTGGGCCGTTTTATAATACAATTCTTTATATTACAATATTTTACAATCTTCTGAGTCCTAGCTCTTGACAAACTTTCTCCATTCCTTCCTGTTATATGTCATCTGTGTTACTTCCTACCAAGTCTTACCCTTACTCTGAAGTATCTGCGAGATGTCACTGTTCCATTCTTTAATGGGTCTTCCTCTTCTGTTTTTCCCTATTGGTTTGGCGTCCCACACTCTTTTTACTTGTCTATTGTCCATCCGGGTTAGATGTCCAAACCATGCCAATTTTTTCTCCTTGATTGATTCAAGAATCGCTTTGATTTTTAGTCTTTCTCTTATTTCTTTATTTCTGATTCTATCAGTTCTTTTTACTCCGATCGTTCTTCTGAGGTATTTCATTTCTACTGCCTGAATTTTGCTTCGATGCCTTTTGTTTAGTATCCAATTTTCTGCTCCATGTGTCACAGTAGGTCTATATATTGTTTTGTATATTGTCATCTTGGTCTTTGTTGATATTTCTTTGTTATTAAGGAATCCTCTATTTAGTGTTTGGAATTGTTTTCCTGTGTTTTCCATTCTGTTGTTAAGATCATCCTCGATGTCTCCTTTGTTGTTGATTACTGTTCCTAAGTATTTGTATGAATTTGTCTGTATTATTTTTTGTTGGTCTATCATTATTTCTAGTTGATCTTCCGTCCCTTGTTTCCTTGATATTTTCAATATCTGAGTCTTCTCTTTGTTTACGTTTAAGTTGTATTTGCTTGCTTATAGGTTCCATTTCTTTAAGTTGTATTTCAGTTTTTCTGCTGTTTCTGTAATTAATACTATGTCGTCTGCAAATATACACATCTCAGCATTTATCATTTGCATTCTGTTCCAACCGATGCAGTATTTCTTAAACGTTTTCTTACATTCTTTCACTCATCTCATCTCATCTATTACATTTATGAATAGCACTGGCCTGAGACTTCCTCCTTGTCTAACTCCTTAAGTTGTTTCAAATGGTTCTGACTGCATATTTGACATTCTGACAACAAACTGAGTTTGAGACAAACAAACTGACAACAAACAAAATTTTGACAACAAACTGAGTTTGTAGTTTTCATGTATATACTCTTTATTGCTTCTCTCAGCTCTTCACTTACTTGCTTCTTCTTTAGGCTTTCCCATATATCTTTTCTTTTGACTAAGTCGAATGCTTTTTCCATGTCGATAAAGCTCAGATATATTTCTCTATTTTTCTATAGTTTGTCAAACGTCTGTTTAAAGTCTAGGAAAAGCTTTAGTGTTTCTCCGTCGTACTCGTATGATTTCTATGTCACTTGTTTTAGCGTATGTATAGCGTCTATCGTGGATCTTCCTTTTCTTAAACCGTACTGGTAATTCCCTATGCTTTGTTCTGTATATATTGTTGGTCTGTCTCCAATTATACCAGTCATTACTTTATATATTACATTCAGTAAATTAATTGCTCGGTAGTTTTTAACATATTCTATGGTTTCCTTGTTTTATGATTGTCACTATAATTGCCTTCTTCCACTCTTCCGGCAATATTTCTTTGCTCCATATTTATATTCTGTATTAATTCATAAATCTGTGTGTATAGTGTCTCTTCGCCGTATTTTCTTCTTCTGTTCTGCACATATTCCGTCTTCTCCTGCTGTTTTCTCGTTTTTAAGTTTACATAAAAAACTTCTTTTTTATCTTGATCTGTGTTCGTTAGTGTTTCTTTTTCTTGTTTTTTATCCGTTTCTTGATATATTTCTTCGAAATAATTCTACCATTCTTCTGCTTCTATAACTATATTAGCTTACCGTTTTCGATATTGGTACAATGGTTTTGAGTTTTGTCTTTTATTTTCTGTTTTTTTTCTCGTTTTCCATCTCGTTTCTATCTCGTTCTCGTTCCTCTTCTTTATTTGTGCTTAACCATTTCATTTATGATTTATTTTTTATTTTTACTGCTAATTTGCACTCATAGATAAACCAATTATTTCTTCACCTCCACCTTGTTCTTCTTTTATTTTGTATTTTGTCAACCACTTTCACTACTGCATTATTTATTCTTTGTTTGATTTTTATCCACTGTTGCTCCATTTGTTGTTCTTTCAACTGCATTCCTGTATTTACCTCTTGTACAAATCTTCTTACTTCTTTCTCTTTTAATTTATCATCGTCCCCTAGGTCGTTATTAAGAACACTTATATTCCACTAGTACATCAACAATTTATCCGTTTAAATCACCAATATTTTTGTACTTGTTTCGTCGAGTAAGAATGATAAACAAATCATCATCATCCGTTTTGAGTCCACTGCTTGACATGGGCCTCCCGTAAATAATTTCAATGCATTATATCTTGAGCACCCTGAATCCAGTTGTGCTGAATGTGTTTGATGTCATCTGACCACCTTGTTGGAGGACGTCCTCGATTACGATAAGCATCGTGTAAGGTCCCCATTCCAGAATTTTTTTCATCCACCTTCCATCCTTTAATCTGGGAACATGCCTCGCTCATTTTCATTTCAATGTTGTAATCCTTTAAACTGCGTCAGTAACACCAGTTTTTCTTATAACTGTTCTATTTGATACTCTGTCTCTGAGGGATATATTCAGCATTGACCTCTCCATCGCTCTCTGTGGCACTTGTATTTTATTGATTACTTTTCTAGTAAGGGTTAATTTTTCTGCTCCATACGTTAGAACTGAAAGTGTGTCACCCATGCCAGTCATATTCTCCTGTTTGGCTTCGTTGTTTGATTATCTCTTCCTAATTTAATCTCGTGGCCCAGATAAACAAATAGATGGATGGATGTATTTCGATTCAATTCGACTCTCGATACATTCTCCTACACCTGTTTTAACGTTTACGTTTCATCAGGGATAAGACTTTGTGAAAGGATTGAATAAAACCGAAGTGCACCATCCAGGTGACAATTATCAGTAAAATAATGCATCAATAAATGTTGATAGAGACCTCTAATAAGGTAAAATGAAGTCAGTGTTGATAGAGATTAAACCCAAGTATATTCCACTGGTACATCAAAAAGTTACCCATTGAAATCACCATCATTTTTGTATTATTTTATCAATTTTTCTCCATTTACAACACCATGCGCACCTCAACTGCTATAAACGAATGCATAGATTTAATTTCTGCCTAGAACGGATTATAATTCTAGATAGCATTTACTAATGCCTATAAATGTAAGGGAAAAAATAATGAGTGTATTACAATACTTGGGGGCGAGAACGTGTAAGAACTCCTTAATACCATAATTTATTTAAAAGTGTGAGCCAGGTAAAATTTTTAAGATTTTTATTTATCTCTGAGATACTCACCGCAATGAGTTTCATCAGAAAAATCACCACAATCGTCGTCCCCGTCGCATAACCATTCTTTCGAAATGCACCGTTTTGTTCTGGGACATAATATGTAACCTTTGGATTCGTCACATTTGACTTTCAGCTCAACATGATCGCAGTCTAATTCATCTTCGTTATCATCACAGTCGTGGATACCATCACACCTAGAATATATATATGTCGAGATATATTGATAAAAAGAGCAGTCAGGCAAGGAAATATATATGTCGAGATATATTGATAAAAAGAGCAGTCAGGCAAGGAAATATTCTAATACCAATCAATGTTATTTATTATCATATTTATGAATAACAGCGTATTTAAAACATTATATCTTACAATATAAATAAATTTAGACAGCTGAAATTAGAATCCAAGAGCATAAGGCTATCAACAGGGAATTTGTATACCTATATAAATGATAAAAATGGTATTAAATTGGTAGAATTCCACCAAACAAACGACATGTTAATAGGAAACAATATAACGAAGATAAAAATAAATTCGTAGCTAAAGGGGCAGGGGAGGGGGGCCTTAATAGTCTACACACGAAACCTAATAAACAAACAATAAATAAAGTCTCAACAGAAAAGGAACTATCTACAAATCATAGAATATGCACTGTAAATCGGTGGAAGAAAATTACAAAAAAGGCAAATTAACTCAGGATAGAAAGAATACTGATGACCACTATGATATAAGACTGCTGAAATACTTATATTACAATCAAGTAGCCTCTATCCAAATTGGAAACAGTCCGACTGAAAAAATATCCGTCAAACGTGGAGTACGGGAGTATCCGAAAACACGAGTTGTGTTTTGTCACTCACTCTTTTTAATCTGTACTCTGAAGAAATCTTTAGGGAGGCTTTGGATGGCAGACAAGAGGGAGTAGGACTAGGTGGAGAAGTAATCAACAATATTAGATACGCTGACGATACAGCCATTCTTGCAGAAAATTTACAAGATCTCCAAACATTACTAAATCTAGTCAGTGAAGCAAGTTATCGGAGAGGCCTTAAAATCAACATTTCAAAGACAAAGTGGATGGCAGTTGGAAAGATCGATATAGATCAAGGTCTGATTTCTCTTAATGGAGAGAAGATGGAAAGGGTAAATCATTTCAAATACCTTGGCAGCTAGTTAAATGTAAATTGTGAATCTGATGAACAGATAATAACCAGGATCCAAATATTACGTAAGGCTTTTATGACCTGGACACCAGGTTTATGCAACAGAAACCTGTCGATGAATATTCGTAAGAAGATCCTAAAATGGTATGTGTGGTCCATCCTATTGTATGGTTGTGAGACATGTACACAAAAAACACAATGTTAAACAAGTTAGAAGCATTCGAATTGTGGTGTTATAGACGAATCCTAAAGATATCGTGGGTTTCGCACACTTCCAATGAAGATGTTCTTCAAATGATCAATTCAGAACCTCTGCTCATAAACACCATAAAAAGGAGAAAAACAGAATATTTAAAAGTGAAACTGGAACAAACCATGAAGTGGAGATATCCAGGAGTGGCTAGTATACCTGTTGAATACAAAGCACGTGGTGTTCGTGTGTATTAAGGTATAAAAAAGCGCTTATTAAAAGCTTAAAATTTTTTATTATAAAGAAGATCTTTTCGGAATTGTATCATTCCATCATCAGTTTAATAAAAAAGGTTGTTAAAAAACATTGTGTGGCCACATAAAAAACATTCGGTTGACATCTGGATTTAAAAAATAATAATCTTCATGTTATTTATTCAGGTAAATGCAATAGACTCTTGACTTGTGTAATATAAAAAAAAATGAAACTGGGGGCATCTTATATGACCCCCTGTAGTTGGTGAGGTTTTATTGACTTACATTACCTATGTCAATAAAACATAATGTAAGTAATTAAAACAATGTAAGTCAATGTAAGGTAATGTAAGTCAATAAAACCTCAACAACTACAGGGGGTCATATAAGATGCCCCCAGTTTCATTTTTTTTTTATATTACACAAGTCAAGAGTCTATTGCATTTACCTGAATAAATAACATGAAGATTATTATTTTTAAATCCAGATGTCAATCGAATGTTTTTTATGTGGCCACACAATGTTTTTTAACAACCTTTTTTATTAAACTGATGATGGAATGATACAATTCCGAAAAGATCTTCTTTATAATAAAAAATTTTAAGCTTTTAATAAGCGCTTTTTTATACCTTAATACACACGAACACCACGTGCTTTGAAAAACAGAATACTTTGGCCATATAATTAGTGGGCCTAAATATCATCTACTTTGCCTTATAATACAAGGAAAAGTGAAAGGAAAGAGATGGATTGGTCGAAAGAAACTTTCATGTCTGCATAATATTAGACAATGGTGTGCTACCACAGTAGACGAATTATTTCGCGCAGCAGCCGACAGAGAAAAGTTTCAGGAAATTGTAAACATGATGACGGCCAACGTCTGAATACGGACACGGCACCCAAAGAAGAGAAGAAAAAATAAGAAAACTAGAAACAGAAAAAACAGTAAATAATTAAGATAACAGGAAGACCAAAGAGAAATATGCACATTGAATGAAAGATGGAATGCTTTCAAAGAAATTTAAATAACATTAAAAGGAGAAAGACAGCATATTTGGAGCACATACTTAGAAATGATAAGTACATGACTTATTGCAGCTCATTATGAAGGGTAAACTCGAAGGAAAAAGAGGTCCTGGTAGACGACAAATATCTTGGCTGAAATATCGCGATTGACAGAAGCATTTAAGAAGAGCAGAAGGTAGAGACGAATTTGCAATGGTTATAGCCAACCTTCATAAGTGGAGTCGGCACTAGAAAAGAAGAAGAAAAAATATAATTAACAATTTAAAGGGCTAGAAGAAAACAATAAGGCAAAGACGTGAAAAAGGTTTTTAGTAGAATATCAAAAGGCTATGTAATTAATAATAGAATGTTCTGTAAAAGACACTTAGACACATGAATGGAGGAAACGAAAAGAAATAAAAGTAGAAGAGACACTATAAATTAAATTCATACAAACGCAGAACAAGTAGATGACGTATACGAGTATTGAGACGAGATGTACATTAATACAAATATAAAGGTGAGTAAAACAAAGAACTGTAAGAGTTTTAAACGTAGAAATAGACAAAGCAAGGGGATGGTTATAGAGATGGAAATTTAAAATATCTATGGGAGCAGAAGGAATCAACTGATTATTGAAAAAATATATTAAGAGGCTTGAGAAAAACAACAAATCCCCAATAGGAAGAATATTGTTAAAGTTTTAGCACATAATCAAATAATAAAAAGTTATACACCTACCTTAACTCCTCGTTAATACAAAGACAAGATTTATGACAAAGCATCTCATCTTTTTGGCACTTTTTCTCACATGAATGGTCGCCTTTGCTATCTGCTTCCTGCGGTTTCAACGTTGGATACGGTTCGTCATAGTCTTCGTCACCCTCATCTTCATCTCCGCCTCTGTGGATGTGATAGGGTCCGATATTAAGGGCGGTGTCATAATCTGGAGAAATACCTCGTCCTCGTATGAATCCAAAGTCAAACGGGTACTGAGCATTGGAGTACCCGTAAACTGGTCTGCCGTTGGCGTACTCGAACCGACCTCCATATCTGCCACCTCCACGGTTAGAGGGACGGTCGCTACGTGGGGGAAATTGGATGTGGGGAATACCAGGGTATCCTAAGAAAAATTACAACCGATTTTACGTTTTTTATACTTACTTAAGAGTCTAGTCACTATAATGATTTATATTTTTTTTAATATTTGACTAATATTCCTTATTTGTATTTTTATACTGTCTGCTGGATGTATATTTTATTTCTATTTAATTACTTTTCACGTGTATAAATCGTCATTTCTTATATATACTTTATTGAATATTGAATATGAATATTGCTTTCATTTCTACATAATCTTCTGAATTTATTTATAATATTTACTTTTGATCCAATGATAGATTTCTAATAGTACCGCAGGGTACTCTGCTATATTTTAAACGTGGTACAATGAAATTATGTAGAGCCAGAACTACTAATTACCGTCTGTTGTTACCCTATCGTAGTTTTGAGGTATTATATAGGGTGTGAGGTGACAAGTTTTGATTAAAAATAATGGCTGATACACTTATGTTAAAATGTAAAATTTCGAAGGTGTAGGTTCTGGATGACACTAGTAATGTGACGTGATTTTACTATCGGTGATTCAGTCATGGTGATTAATAAATCACTGGTAACTATTGTTCCTTGCTAACTTTGATAACCGTGATGAGTGACCCGATATATAAAATATCAATTCATGGTCACCGTCTCGCAAAACGTGTGTATATAATAAATATTATGATATTCTCGGTGAACGTAATTTGGGGTGAACGGTTACTAACATCTGAGGAATGGTTAGTAACATCTAAGGATTTACCGATGTAACTGAAATGCTAGATATTTTATGATAATATCTACTGATATTTGTCTTTTTAAAATAATAAATTTAAAATAATGCTATTAAACGAATTGAATTTTTTTTCTTTCATAAACACCATCCTTAAAAGTTTATAAAAAAATTTAAGTGAAATTATAATTAATTTTAGTTTTATTTAAAGAGGATACGTTGTCATGTAAGTTTTATAGTGCTTTAAATGAATTACTTTATTGTTAGTATTGTATGTTTATTATTATAAGTCAAACCATCTAGTTGTGTTAGTTAAACTTATTCATTACCAGCAATATGTTTTCAGAGTATTACCTAAGACAGAGTGATCGTCATCGTGTTGTTTACGATTAATGTGACTACCTGTTACTGTAAAATGTTTCCCAAATTGGTATGTTTTGTTGGGTATACCGAAAACTAGAGTAGATAGAAAAAAAGGTGTTAAGATGTCATGATTTATTTTTTCGTTAAAGTAATGATTGCCCAATCAAATCATCAATAACTCCGCACACTAGCGAGATACTTGACGATTACTGAAAAATGACGAAAATATCAGGGTTATCTATATTCTTTATTAAGAAAAATTTTTAAAAATGTTATAAGAACTTTTGATAGAAATCTTATGTAAGCGTTCAGTGGCGTACGAAAATTTTTGTTATTGGGTCTCATTAAAGAAATATTATACCAACCATGTTTTTTTATATGGGACACCCTATATATTTTGACTTTTTCGTTTACATTTTTAATTTTTTTTTCACCTGATTTGACATGTTACGTATCTATTTTTAGTTTTTGAAGCTATTATGCAGATAATATTATGTTATTATGAGGATTTTAATCCCTTGACAGTTTTATTTAGCAAAAATAAAATCTTTTTAAAGTGAATTATTATTTAAAGTATTGTTTTCATATTTTATAAATAAAATTATTGCGAAATAAAACACACTGTATTTTATTACATTTTTCGTTTCTATTTATAATTTTTTTATACGATATAATATTATTGTCGTCTTTTTTATCAGTGTTTTGACGCCATTTTCTTGTGACATCATAATACAATTTACTAGTTTTATTGGTAATAAGCTACAATTTTACTTTAAAATAAGTTTATTTTGACGTTTAGATTTCCGTAAATTACATTATTTTTATGTAAAATAACATACGGTTGCATCTTGTATAATTATTCATTTCGTAGAGTATGTTATATTAATAGGTAATAGGTAATAGTGAAGGTAATATTTAGCGATGAACCTCGCATATCCAGTAATGGAATATTTAACTGACACAATGAACTATATTGGAATGACTCCAATCCTCACTTAGTTCAGGGGATCAGGAGGTAAGAGAGATTCGGTTTTAACATTAGTGTTTTGTTGGGCGTGCATGATTTGGACGCTAAATTTAAAATTCGACACTGAAAAATAAAATTACCTGTTTCTAAATACATGATTTGGAAGCTGGGTGTAATTAAAATGTAAATGGAAAGTCAGGTAATAAAATTCGAGAGATTAAGCTTAATAAGGTTTATTTGTCACTTTGAAATAAATACGACATACATTTTACGAAATGGAATCGATCGATACCGTTAGTTTGATACTCATGTATCCTATTTCTAACGAACATAATTTTTTTTCTACTCTTTGGATTTTTAAGTCTATTACTTTCACTATTACAGGCACTATTAATTTTAATGTAAGTTTCAGTTTAAACATTTTTTAAAACATCAATAAAATGAAAAATATTTGGATGAGCATGGTAAAAATTATCATTAAAACGCGAGTGGAACGATTCACAAGCATTAGTTGTTAATTGTAAACTCTCACTCATCGCAGCTTACATCTCCGACGGAAATGTTGCGTGATCGGCAATGTACTTGTCCAATAAATAGTCGGAAAACTTTTCAATTTTTGAATCCTTTGGTTGAATAGTCATAAAATCATATATGAAAGATTCTTCGACTTTTGAGGGAGGTAAAAATGGCAGCCCAAAAATATATTTCAGCCATTTAGATATTTCACTGTCTGCCAATTTATATTCCCGAATAAAGCCACAACCACCGATATTACGATACCAAGCTTACATAAGATGAAAACGGCACCCTTTAATGTGGATATTTGGAAATTCAAAACGCGCACCATTGTGGATAGCAATTTCAAAATCGGAGAAAATGATTTTTGGATTGAATTTTAGACCAATTACTTCACATTTGCGTTTCAAAACATTAAATAGTTTTTTATAGGTTTGTTCCGATTTGTCGGGAAGTAAACAATAACACAATGGTATATAATTTTCATTGATGAATACATGTATGGTAAAAAATTGCTTGAAATATTGAGCACACTAACTAAATGTACCGTCCATATAAATCGTTTCACTGCCGCACAGAAAACGCATGTTAGTGTTACACGAGAAGATGATAATGTTAAAACTTAGTTCAACCGCAAATATAAAATTCTCGTTTTTAAGTGTTTTGATGTTCATAATATTTACAGCAGCAATAGTTTTTTTCTTTACTTTTTGGCAGTTTCGGTTGAGCCATTCGCCATTCACTGTATATTTGATTTCGTATTAAACTAACGTCTTTAACAGACATGTGACTCAAGCAATCTACATTTTCTCTCAACGTACTATGTATGATTTTGGACGGCCTTTCGGTCAAATTATCCTTAGCCTTCCTTTTGGCACTGCTACGCACAATTTGTCTATTAAGCGTCTTGATATCACACTCGTGATTATGTTCTAGATTACTTCGGATCACTAACTTTTCTGGCCCTTTCGTGAAGATCTTCGCTTTACACGACCTCCACGCACCTCCAATACGTTTCTCAAGATTTTAGTACTTTATCTTGAGAAAAAGTAAAACTGTTCACTTTGAGCAAAATTTTACGTTGAAATTTCCATGTTCACTTTTCACTATTCTCTGACAAACTAATAACTAGTAACTAAGTAAATTTCAATGACCAGTATTAAACCCTAATTGTATCTAATATCTGGTACCTGCGATAATCCTTCTGGCAGCGTCCAAAACAAGGGTACTTTTAAGACCCTCAGGTACTTCAGCGTCGAAAACATGCCTGCCCGGTTTGTTAAGCTTAATAAATTAGTTTATCATGTATTTGATGATAAATAGACTGCTACTGGATATATAGGTATCTTAAAAACAAATTTAAATAACATTTTCCATGAGAAATGGAAATTGTTGTTCTTGAAATGAAGACGAAATGAAACATTTTGTTCACCAGAATTATATCCCATTTTTTATTTGGCGATTCTAAAAAAACAATTAATAAAAATGTCTTTAATACTAAGGAAGAATAATTTTAAAGCATGTAAAAATATTAAGCCAATGCATATACGCAATTCAGTAGTAAGATCTGTAAGAAAAAAGTGCCAATTATTATTACAACAAAACGAGGGCATTTTGAAAATTTATTATGAGTTTATATTTTTGTAAAATGAATTCTAGTTGTTCCTTTGTGTATTTTTGTTGCTTTTATGTTTATTATAATGTTAATATTGTCGTAAAATTAATTTTGATTGTTAAGTAGTCTTTTGTTGCTGGTAGAATTGATATTTGAATTTTTTAAGTTAATTCATCTTATTAAGTAAACTTAACTGTAAAGGATTGTTATCCCCATAATAAAATGTGAGAATGTGTTCCAGTGTTTTGTTTCTAGGTGTCTATAACGTGATGTCAAATAAATAATTTATTTGCCGATTAGCTCCAACGACTGAAAACAGATACATAATATGTGACATTAGGTGAAAGAGAACTAAAAATGCAAACGACAAATGTCAAAATATATAGGGTGTTCCATATAAAAAACATAAGTTGGTATTATATTTCCTTAGAGACCCCCTGAAAACATTTTCGTACTCCACTGAACACTTCCATAATATATCTATTAAAAGTTTTAAAAAAATTTTTTTAAAAGTTTTCTTAATAAAGAAGATATTTAACCCTGTCGTTTTCAACATTTTTCAATAAGCGCCCTGTATATCGCTAATGTGGGGAGCGATTGATGATTTATACCAATTTGGGACACCCTGTACATAAAAGAGCGGTGATCACAGTCACCGTTTAAAATCACCGGTATTTAAAAATCACAGTCATTGATCACGGTGTAATTTTCAAATCATCACCATGTTTTATTATTTTTTCATATTATTAATCCTGAAAAGAAGCCAATAAGATGAATGGATTATTAATTGTGGAAATCATTAAAAAAGTTGGGTATTTTGTATTAATTTAATTAGATAACTTATAAACTAAAATAACTAAATGTAATATTAAACAACTAAAGTTTTAAAATAAGTATTCAAAATTAGCAGCATTTACTTTTGGACATTTATTAATTATTTTTATTAAGTTGTCTTGTAATTCGGAAAATATGGTCAGGTGTTAGAGAATTATAAGCAAGTAAGTCTTTCTGCATCATATATGTCTTTGTCTTATCAGGTTTGGAAAATAACTGATTTATTAATGTATCTGATTGGCACTGATTGGCAATTAATCTATCATAAAACATGTCGTGTAAAGATGCTGAGCAACACGTCCGAACTTAAAAGAGGTGCTCCATCTTGCTAATACTAAGCTGAAACCGCCACTCTATTGCTTACAGAATGTAATGCCGATCGTATGGCTGCTACTAAAGGTGGCAATATCTTTCAGTATTTAAATTGTCATCATTATATTTTAGTTTCAAAATTTTATAGTCTTTTATTACACAAAAAACATTCTAACTATCTTGGAAATTACGTTCTCTATCAGACCATGTTACTTTTTTATGAAGATTTTATCCTCTTGGGTCTTCATTACAAACCATTCACAATTATACCCTTCGAGAAAGATCACATAATTGTAAGTGTTTCTTCAAATGACATAAAAATGGTTTCCATTTCTGTATTTTTTTTAAATGCGATGAATTGTTCTCGTCGACAAAGTAAGATAACACTAACGTAAGTTCTCTAAGGGAGTTCTTTGGACAGGCTGTAAAATAACCCAAAACATTTATTTCATTACAGTCATTGTCCACTAGATTTTTATTAATTTTTGTCTTAAATTGAGCAAACTGATGGTATTATTAACCAATATTCTTCTATCACTAGTTGCATTTGGTCTTTTGATATATTTCTGAGAAAACACGGAGATTCCATTCAACAATTCTATTACACTCCGTAAACCATAATAACATTTAAAAAATCATCATTAGTAAATTCTAGATTTGTCACTATTTAAGATGATATACAAGCTGGTAGAGAAAACTTTCAGAACATATACTGTTCTAACCATCAACTCCTTGGCAGCTCTGGCCTACCCTTTACTGATATTGAAATAATTAAGTGGTGTTCTATTTAAACTTAGCAATTAATAAATTGTTTAAATTGTGCATGTTGGCGGCTAAGTCCATAAAAGCTTATATAAAATATCAATAAGTCAGATACATTGGCTTAACGGCCATGCGCTTGTTGTTCATTGCTTATAATTCCACGTCATAAGCTTTGTTATTAATGCAGATATCGTTATTCAATGTGGACTAGTATTTTTCAGAATTAATAAAAAAATCGAAATATCTCGAAAATACCTTATTTTTGGTATAGGATATTGTGCACAAATTGTATCTCAAATTTTATGTAAAATTCGTAAAAGTTCTATTTAAAATAACAAATTTGACTTCTAATTCCGGTATAACCGAAAGTGCCACATTCAGGACAGTATATATCAACTCAGCGTCATCCAAAACCTATTATACCTTTGAATTTTCAGATTTTTAACATAACTGTCTCCGCCATTACTCTTAATCAAATCTTGTCGACCCACACTTTGTATATTTTAAAATATATTAAGGTTTAAGTACCCGAGGTACTCATTTAACTTAGGCTGATTAAAGTGATTCAATTTGTGCCAGAGGTGGATATCGTTTCTTTTATCAACTTACCTCTAATCATAGGCTCGTATTCGTCAGCTCTCATGGGTATAGGAAACACCGGGATGGGTACGTAAGGTACGAACTGGGGTGGGCTGTAAACTTGCGGGGACAGGGTAGTTCTGACCCCATGTTGACGCTGGCCGGTGGCATAGATGACAGATTTCGTGCCAGGCGGCCTCAAAGACCCCGATCCATACATCTGTCGAGCTGCACCTCGATGGGCTGAGTAGGTGGGTTGGGGGTTGTTCAGGGACCCATTGGTGTTATTATTGTTGTTACTATTGTTGTTGTTACCGTTGTTGGGGTTTATATTGCATTGTGCTGAAATAATGGAAATCATATATAGAAATTGTAAATCGAAATATACTATAATTTATTTTTAAATTTTCGTACTTCTTTTTTTGAATTAGAATCGACAATTATTCTAATTTTTGTATTGCTAGAGACTTTTTTAAGAGATTTAGGTTAAGTAAACCGACAGTGATATATATTCTAAGAATAAAATGTAAATAATTGTTAATAAAATATTATAAAAGTAGGTATTTTACCTCTTTTTCTTTACTTTGTTTGGACATGTAATGTTTTTATAATCTTGATAATTAAAAAAAAGTGTATATTCAGATAATAGAAATGGGTTTGTTACTTGGAAATTTTGATTATAGAATGAAGCAATTTTTAAAGAGTCCACTCAAGAATCCATACAGAAAATTTCTATAATGAATTCTATATTAAAACCAGATATGTAACACAACTCCTAATGTATGGAAAAGAAGATTTAGGTACTATTTTATCCTATTGAAGTGCCTGTAAAATTGAAAAGATTTAACCGTTTGAATCTACAGCAACATTCTATAACCTAGCGAGAGATCAAAATGAAGATTAATTGCTGAATAAAGATATTGAACTTTCTGAAGTTAAAAGTATTTGAGCTAACCTTATATAATATTTTAGTATTATAGAGAAACCTCAGAAGAATCATTGATATACACGTATCATTTTTTATTCGTTATTAAATTTTTCTTTGCACAATTTAATTTATTTTTGCCACCTCAAATTATGTAAACAAAAGAGATATTAAAATATTAGTGTGATTTCTTTGACAGTTAATTAAATATTGATGAGTTTCGAAATAAATTTTATGTTTATCTTACAAATAAGTAACCGCAACATAATTCGATGTGAAAATACACGTACATTTTATTCTATGAATCTATCAGATAGCACAATATTTATTTAGAGGTAAAAGAGCCGGCCCTCTCATGTAAGAAATTTACTATTTTAAGATTTGAATTTTTAACTCTTTTGAAAATTTGTTGATCCTAAATAATTAGCTGCGAATTTGGTGATCAGTAAAAAAAATATAATACAAAACTCAAGCTTTTCCAACAAATGAATTGCCAAACTAGATAGTACACTGGTTTTTGTACGTAGATTAAATTCATAAGACAACTTTACGCAAAAGTTCGGGTATTCTCTAAAAGTGACTTATTTGTTATAAAAGTTATACAACAAACTAAAATATCATTTTGTTTACATCCTAGCTTCAAATAGAAGGAGGTCAGAAAACTTAAGTGGAGTGACTTTAAATAGGAATTGATTGTATCCCCGACGCTTGGTGATGAGCAAAATCAATAGATACTAGTTTACGATAATATACAGTTTTCGATAAACAATAACCAAACAATTTGCAACCAATAATACAGCAGCTTAATGGTGTACTATCTGTTTTCAGGCTACGATTAATGCTATAAGTGAATTGAATGCCTTTGACTACATGTCATGTCAATGCTCCCATATCCTAGGTTTCAGCTGTAAAATTAACCCCAAGACCTATTTATCCAGGCAATGTGTTTTTCTACATACAATAAAAAATCTACTATTATTTGATTATGTAAAAGCTATCGGTTATATAGTCAATCTTAATAACATTGTTTTGTTTTTGTTGTTGCTTTAAACAGCACCTAAACTGGTTAATACTTAATTAAAAACAATGCTTTTATTAAAATCAAAGAATTTAGTTATTGTTAGACCATTAGCGACACCAGCCAAAAAAATTGTTATAAAAAAATGTTTGCCTGTATATTTCTTATGAACTTGTTGAAGCCGCTTTAAAGGATTTGGGTCCTCAGCTAGTGTCACCAGTTACCTTCATTAAAACTGGAATTCAAGGTGATGAATACAGTCACTTTCTGTCCTTCAAAAGATAAATATATGGCATCCCACCATCTCTATATTATCAACTCCAGACCTTTCTGGTTATACCCATGATAAACTGGATTGCCCTAAGGACTAAGAAACAATTAATCACTACAAATCGATAACCCTACAGAAGAAGATAGCACACAAACCTCATCAAGTCAAACACTACCACTTATGTCAGCTACACGTCAAGAAAGATCTCTTTCTAGTTAAATTGACTCAAATGAGACACTTACTCTTCCCGACATAATTTTTTTAAATTTAGAAACTAACTCATCACTCTTAATGCCCCCACCCCAGACTCTTCAGTCAAAAACAAAATCCCTAAAAAGAAATCAAATACGAATTTTACTGACAAGTAAACTGTTATTCAGGAAATATTCAAATTCTTTCTAAATAACCTTTCTATTCCTTCTATTAATTTTCTAGCATTTATTGAAAACTTTGTTGACATCAGTAATCCTCTGGAAGAGTCTGAAGAAGTTACAACAAATGTAAAACTTTTAATTTCAGACCTATATTCTGTATATTCTATAATAAATGAAAAGTCCCACAAAAACAAACTTTCTCGTGAAATAAAAAAAGTCTCAAAAGAGAATGTAACAAAATAGGAAGCATAGCTTAATAGGATCATTAGAATCAATGAAAGAAGAAAACGTCCTTAACAATACACAGGCATCACAACAAAACTCATAAAAAAATTACATTTACAATAATACACTAGAACTGCGATGATTTCTATCATCACATCGAACGCATTCAACAGTTAATAACTAAAACGCAGGTTAACATAATTTGCCTGCAGGAAACAAATTTCAAGGAATCTCACAAACGGGAAATTAAGAATTATGCAGGATGTCACTACTTAGGAAATAATTATCTGGGAACAAGCGGTGGATCCTCAATTTTCATAGTTAATCATCTTTTCTCCAAAGAATTGTTAATAACTTCTTTAGAAGCAATAGCTACTGCTATTTGGTGTCTCAATAAAATACCTTTCTGTAATATTTAAATACCACCAAATTATAACAGAACACGAATTAACACACCTCTTAATTAACTTTTTAGTCCTTTTATAGTCACTGGAGATTTTAACGCTCATAATATAGTGTAGGGATCACAACACACGTTTGTCAGGTATTATTAAAAACATTATAAATAATCATGAAATATTTCTCTTAAATTCAGGATCTAGTACTCACATATATATTTCCTGGTACCTTTTCGGCCATCGATCTATTAATTTGTGGACTACTATACCAATTTGGGAAAACGTTATAAAGAAATAATTCCTGAGCCAACTAAATTTTTAGAAAATATATCGGAAATAAATAATACTATGTACCTATTTCCAACGACTGAAAATAAGGTTAAAGAAATAGTAAAATCTTTAAAAAATAACAAGTTACCAGGACAAAATGAGATCTGAAACTTTAAAAGAAACAACAAAACAAATTTCAAAACCCTTAACATACATAATAAAGATATGTCGTAATTTAGACACTTTTCCAGATATTTTAAAAACTGGAATTATTAAACCAGTTACCAACCATATTACATTATGGAAGAAATATATTGTTAGAATTATAGGTCTATCACCCTAAACTCAAAGCTAACTATGAAGCTATCTATAAAGCTCTTGATAATACAAAACCGTTTCTTTGTCTATTTGTAGATTTATCAAAGGAATTTGATACTGTTTTACATAAAACATTGCTAACTAAACTTAAAAAATATGGTATTAGAGGGCTTGCATATAATTTTCTAGAAAGTTATCTTCTAAACAGGCAACAACATGTTTATATAGATTGAGAAATTAATAATGGACGAAATATATCCTATGGAGTCCCGCAGGGATCCATACATAAATTATTCTGTTACAAAGCTCTTATACATATACATGAAGAAAAGATAATATTTAACTTTAACAATCATGCCCATCAAACTAGATATTTGAGGAATATTGTAATTTACCCTAAATGTAATAAATCCATATTTCAGAGATGTTAATTACATAAGGCCCAAATACATTTTTCTATCAAAGAATGTAAAACAAAATTAAAAAATATAAAAAACGTAGATATAAATATGAAATTAAACAATGACTTGAAAAGAATACAACACAATTCTATGAAGAACTGAATAATAGACAATAGTACTAAATAATAAATATCTAAATAGACTTTAATTGGAAACTACAACATTTTTTGAATTTACTGCAAGTAATATCATGTACTTACATTTTGTGTAGTCACAGTTGTGTAACATAATTAAAATTAATGTATTTTTGTAAGCACGCATATGTAACTTTATATTGTTCTGAAGCTATTTTCTTGTGCCATTGTAAATTATTTACTGTTAAACTGGGAATAAGCCACAATTAAAGATAAAAATACGTTTATTGACGTTTCAATTTCCACTTCGGAAATCGTTCTCAAAATACAAACAGTAAATTAAAGAAATTTTGTTTTTTGTTACATAGTGAAAAATTCTTCTAATAATTTAATTTTATCTGACTTATTTATATTGACAATTCAGACATACATTATGCATTTTAAAGTAGAAGACTTTAAAATGATATTGCCAATATTGTTGGCAACATTCAAAAAAACAAACAAGTTGAGTTTGAGTTTGAGAAACCTAACAATGAACAAGAAAGGACAAAGAATTGCATTTATAAAATACCTTGTGAATGCGATCAGTTTTATTTAGGTGAATCATCAAGGCCATTAAATGTTAGAATAAGTGAACATCAATCTTATATTAAAAATAGAGAATTTGATAGATCTCAAATCTGTAAACACGCATGGGATAATGAACATAGGGTTCAATGGAATAATTCAAATGTAGGCCTAAAAGAAACGGATGGTAAAAAAAGAAAAATCAAAGAAGCGACTTTAATTATGCTAAATGAGGCCAATTGTGTCGCAAATTCCTCGGCAGAATGTAGTAGGATCTGGTTACCAATATTGAAAGAGGAAGTTATTAATAAGAAAAATACCAGTATTAGTAAGTCAGTAACATATAGAGGAGACATCATTTATGTTTTTTAAATAACGTAACATATAAAGTCAGAATTTTGATGTTTGTTGAAGGTAAACTAAATTCACGAACAAATACTTACAATGTCGGGATAGTATT